GTTCCTTTTTGTTTGAGCCAGAAAGAGCTTTTGCGCCCTTGCCCAAAACAGACGAGGCCTGAGGAGTACGAGGAGAACCCGTCAGCACAAGCTGCTGGATGCGTGGCAGCGACACCCACAGATATATGCATCTGGTCCAGTAGGAAAGCCAAGGCCTGGTGGCACATGACAGCACATGTGCTACATTTCTTTTGCTGACTGGTCACTACCAGTTCGCACATTGCAAAAGCTTGTGCATCAGCCTTGGATGGTCACTGTGATGGATACCTTTGCTTTCTTGCCACTGTGGACAGGTCATACTTTTCATTTGGAAAGAGAGAAAAAAAGAACTAAACAAACACTGGCATATTCAGCGTTGCTACTTTCGTACGTTGGCTTTGGTAGTCTCTTTGACACTTCTTGTATGTTTGTGAGCGTGTGTGCGTGTGTGTGCACGTGAAGCATCATTTGTTTAGTAGGCATTAGTCAAGCATTTATGAATAGTGTGGCATAAGGCACACTTGCTTTTTGGTGTTGCTCTACAGTGATCAGCTGGCAGTTTTGCACTCAAAGTTTAGAACATCACTAGACTTAGCAGCATTGCTCTATTTTCACCATTTAGCACTGGCACCTAGCAGCCCTGCATACTAGGATGCCTGTACTTCTGTGTCACAGCTCTGAGTGGCTCTGTGTGAGCTATACTTAAAGCACAGTTTTTCCTAGGCATTTCTCCCCCCATTTTTCTAGTCTGCTGTCTTGTGCCCCTCATGTATGTATGCATGTTGGTAGCTTTAGTTGCAGTTTGGCAGGCACACGTATGCAGGTGGTAGTATTTGCACCAGCTGTCTAAACAGATTTGATGTGGATATTTCGTGTCCTGCTGGCTTTAGTGTTGGTATGGAAAAGTTTTTTTCCAGCTATAGCAAGCAGCATTTATGATCATGAAATCTTGTGGTGCTAAAGCTGGGTTATGCACAGGGGGAACTTGGGAAGTATTTGTAATACTATCATAATGACTCGACAGGTGTCTGTTTACTTAGTTTATGGCGAGTGTGAGAAGTAACATGTTTGACGGTTGCCTGTTGCCTTCTGTGTGGGTGTGCTAGTGGTGGAGTAATACGGTAGAGAAAGGTCAACCCTGGGGCTAGTTGTGGCCATGGCTTTCATGTAATAACGTCCGTCAACACACGTGCTATGCACCAATGCTTTTTTAATTTTTTTTCATTTTGACTTGTATTGACATTGGCTGGCAGGCTGGTTCTGTGTGTAAATGTATGGTCTTACCTTCTTTTCCTTCTTTCTATACCTTTGTGCTTAGTATTTCATTGAGAATGATACTTTGCTTGTGCATGTGAGCTTTATCTAATATATGTTGTGATGCTTACTTTTGTACAGCTTGGTTATGTTGAAGACGTTTCTTCAAAGCATTAGCTGCCTCTTTGTTGTTTCTAAGTTTCTAATGTGCTATTGGTTGGCCCGCAATGCTTTCAGATAGGACCCTTATGGTACCAACGTAGGCTGTAGGTTAAAATAAATTGCATTCGAGACTAAACTTCAATAGATGTTTTTATTTTATTTCGGTGTGCATACTTGCGTGAACAATATAAACAAGTGTGCCTCTGTGAAGTGTTTGTAAGAAGGTTCACCAGCTTGTTGACACGCACACCTCTACCCACGTAGATCACTTGCTGCCTTTTACTGAGTGCAAAATTAAGCATTTTGCATTAGGGAAGACTGATATTTAGAATCACTTCATACATCCTAATGCTGGCACTGGAGTAAAAGCCATTAGATACACAAGAAATGTATTACCCTTGAGTAATCCTGATTTTTGTTCTTTTGTATTACATACTTCAGGTAATCTTTGCGACTTTTTTTTCATATTCTGTTCTATATGCCTACTCCATGCTAATGGCTGCTACGTGTACTTGATATAATTCTGATGCCACCATACGTTTGTGCTGTATGGATTATACAAGCAGCAGCATTCGCATGAACAATGAATTGTGTGGATAAAGGAGGAGGCCAGATCTACAGCATGTACCTTTTAAGCGTTATGGCTTTTGGTGGGCTAGTTTATTCTGGATCATAATGAACATCAAACAGCATGAACAGATGAAGGACGACATGAGTGTAGAAAGTATGCACTCGTGTGTTCTCGTCCCAATGTTCTCCATCGGTTCATCCTGTTCTAAGCTCATCTTGATGCTTTCCAGGAATGTCCATAACTTTGGCCTCCAGTACTGGTATTGCCAATCTGTTTCCTTCAGTGCCATGATACTGCTTGATGAATGAAATACAGCATCCCATGCATGCTGATCAACAAACTTAATGCTGTAACTTTCATTTTAAGTGTTTGTCTTAGGTTTGATCTATATTTTGTGCAATTTTATGTCCCACAAGCTTTCCAAGTGGCATAATATTAACTGTCAGCATCAAGGATGGAACTTGTCATAAAGTTTCTTTATACTTGGGTAGGCACCTGTGCGAGATATTTGCATGTAGGCTAGTCTCTTTCTGCATCTCATACCATGGCACACTTAAGCAAAGTCTTGTGGCAAAAATTTTGCATGCCTCATCTTTGTTTCTATGTCAGACAATGATTTTGAAAGAATGCATTTTTTTCTGAAGTCATAGTAATGTATGCTATAGCTGGTTTATGACTGCTTTATCAGTACAAGAATACCAACCAAAAGTAGGAGCAAGGAACTAGAATTTTCAACGGCACTACAGCTGTGCTAGCAACAGCAATAGCACTGGTGATCCTTTTATAACCAGTTCAGTCACATTGCAGCGGGCTGTGTGGCATTTAGCTTAGGGCACTGTAAATGTGCGAAGTATTTATATTTGTCTCAACTTTAAGTTGTGTCAAGACAACATGGGGTGGTCTTCATTATGTTACTTATTGGAACTTTTAATGATATTTTTAGTGAAAGCACACAGAGGTGGTCTTCCATTTACCTTGAAACAACAAAAAAAAATTAGGCTGCTGGTAGCATAGCAGACTAAACTTTGCAATCGGGAAACTGCGTTCTGAAGAGTAATAATAAAATGCCATAAAAGTCAAGTAGCATAGCCTTCTTGTGCACACATGTATAAGTAGAAGGTAGTTCTAATGCAGTGTCTCCCAAGCTCCAAAGTATTTGTACCATGTACATGCATCTTTTTTTTTTTTTTGTCATGCCCATTCTGCATTTGTAGTCTGATAAACCCAACTGGATTGCGTGTTAGCAAGGAGAGGAGTGGGGGGGGGGGGGGGGGGGGGGTGCATCATAGTTTTACTGAGCCCCTCTTCTGTGTGTTGTGTTGCAGCCTTTGCTTCCTTTCTTTTTTCTTTTTTTGTTTGAAAATTTGTGTGACTGGAACCTTATCTTTGTTTCATTCATATACCTCCTGTTTTGACCCATTTGTTTTACTTTGTTTTGTAGTTGCAGCACCTTAGTAGGCGCCTCTGACAGCGTTGTCCCAGACTAGTGTATGTGTGGCGTGTGTGTATGATTGTGTGTGTGTGAGATGACAATTCTTTTCATTTTTCTCTTATGTTTTAAGTTGATTTTGTAGATCTAAATTGTTTTTGATTCCATTTCTTTTTCCCCTCTCCCTCTCCCGTTCTTTCTTTTTCCCCCACCCTCCTCTTTGTAGTCCCTAGTCTTGCTGGTCAAAAGTTGAGCTCAGTGCGTCAGACTTCGCTCGAAGAGGAGGCCAACGCCAAGCAGGAAGTACACATTGTTGAAAACCCCATAAACCAGCATCAGGTGAACTGCTAAGCAGATGTGGAAAAACTCCAGCAACATGGGGGGCCCACACGAGAGAGCTTTTTTGTGGTAGCACTCCAGCTGTAGCGTTGGTGTGCAAAGACTGTTTTGTTCGTTGGAGGAGGGGAGAAGGGGTCGTCACAGATGCAAAAGCAAAGGGACATGAGCAAAAAAAAAAAAAAAAAGTCAGCTAGGCTTAAATGACAAAGCTGCTGCTAGAATTGCATGTTATCACGTTACAGATGCTTGTTGGTGTACCCACACGTACATTGAAGCTTGCACACTCGTGCCTGGTGGTAGTACAAAGCTTCGTTCAGTCTTCTAAGCTCAAAAGGCTATGACCCTGCCGTCAGACCTGCATGCATGTTTTTTGTCAACTTGCCCTATTCTCAAGTATGCATTGATCAGGCAATCCTGGATTCTTTCAGAGAGCACCTTAAGAAAGCAAAAAAAAAAAACGGGGGGGGGGGGGGGGGGGGGCAAAAGCTGCACGTGTGCACCTACTTTTGTGCGTGTGACCAGGCTACATCCGACTTGCAGCAACTGCCGCAGAAGCTGTAGAATATAAAGTTTGTTTGGCTACGAATAGTACAACGAAAGGCCTTCAGCGACGGTGCTTGCCACTGAGGCTGCTCCAGCCAGCTTTGAACGGTTAGTTATGGAGACTGCAGAGGAGGACCAATGCATTGCTTGTTGATGCTTTTTGTAATGGTGCATTAAGTTGACAAGGGTGCAGCTGTGTTCCTCGCAGGCTGGAGCATTTTTAAGACGTCCCGAGTTTGTGTGTGTAGGCTCGCTGCATGCACCAGGGCTCATGGTCACGTTATGCAAGAACAGTGTTGTGCATATAAAACTTTCTCCCACTAAGAATGGTTGTTGCTTTAACTGTCCAGTCTTCTGTCATTGCTTGCTGAAAAGAGAAGGCAGGGATGTTGGGCTTTGTTGAAATTGCTTGTTTTGCTCTGACTCGCCCACCTATGTCTGTTGTGGATTCTGGCAAACTGAAAGTGCGCTACGTGCTGTAAACATTGCAAAATGGAGAGGTTTGGGCATGTATTTTTTTTTCTAGTGAGGCCTTGTTTTGAAGGGCTTACATTGTAGATGGTGGTTGAGAAGGTGTACTGTACACTGTGTATACATGAGTGAAGCCTACTATACAAGATGTATAAGCGACGTACTTTTACTTTGACTATGGGCATATGTTGCATTGTATGTTGTGTGTGCTGCTCTTAAAGATTCAGCCGAAGAAATGTATTTTTATTATAGTTTGTTCCTTACAACTGCATGTACAATGAATGCATTTGTTTTACATCTATGCAGGTACATGCACATGGTACAAATAAAGCAAAATCATACACATAGAGCTTTGGTCTCCTTTCTTTATTCTGTATGCCCCATTTAAAACATTTTGGGAGTACAGGAACTATACCACACAGTCATGGGTGTCTGTAGAGAGGTGCAGTAGGGGCACTTGGCCCCCCACCCAAGCCACACCAGTGCTCACCCCTCTCGGCTACCATGCAATAAGACTTTGCATGGCCACCCCCAGCCCGAGACAAAATCTTGCCGACGCCCATGCATTTCCGTAGTACTCAAAAGAAAAAACATTGCCCCACCGTGGTGGTCTAGTGGCTAAGGTATTCTGCTGACCCGCAGGTCACGGGATCAAATCCCGGCTGCAGCGGCTGCATTTTACGATGGAGGTGGAAATGTTGTATGCCTGTGTGCTCGGATTTGGTGCACGTTAAAGAGCCCTCCACTACGACGTCTCGTAATGATATGGTGGTTTTCGGACCTTAAACCACACATGTCAATCAATCAAAAGAAAAAAGCATTCCATTATGCTCTGGTAAAAAAGGTTTGGCACCTGGAGTTTATATATGTATGCATAATAAATTTGGCTAAATTATGCTTTGGCTCTAGGAATATGTTTGGCCTACAATGTGCCCGGTAACTTCATAGATCAATGAGCACCTAGGTCATGAGCATTGGTACAATCATATTCAGTGTGAAATGCAACTCAGTGCCTGTGGTTGAAAAGGCCCCTAAACCGCACAGTGGTCTCAACAAATTTAAAATATGTTGGACAAAATGAATAATGGAGAGTAGTGTTTAATTTAATTTTTCGTAGGTTGCTGCCCGAGCATGAGCACTGTGTTGCAGCTCGCACTAAATGCGACTGTACCGTATGTATGGCACAAGTTTGCGCTACACTGCTGCACTATTGAGCCTCAGTTGACGGGCATTTCTGACTTAGTGCCGTCCTGGCTGGTATATGCATATGAAGAACACCTACGGTGCAGCGTCAATACTGCAAAAACAGTTAACAGTATGGCACTTGCTAATGTGACCAGCACTACCACTGGCACCACAGCAAGGTCTCCGCTAGGTTCTGGCAGTGAAAAAGTAAGGATAATAATGGCTAGTGGGCCATTTTGAATTGCCGTTTCTAAGGAAACTGCTATAATCTGTTTACTTGTGAGTCGAAACAACCACGCCATGGTTGCACCAAATAAAAACCCTGCAACTACAACTACAGACGCAGCAACTACATCCATTAGAGTGATCAGTGTAACTATATACCAATAGCTGTATGTTCCAATGACTAATGCAACAAGTAATATGGCCACAGAGAAGGGTTTCACGATTTTCTCGGCCACTTGAGCCCATTTTGGCCGCTTGTATTGGATGAGGAGGCCCAGCCCCAGTGGCAGAGTTAACGCCACCAAAGACACAATCAGGTTGCTGAATGGCACTGCTGGTGTGGCAGTACCAGCTATTCGCCGGCCTAGCGTGTGCATCCACAGTGGCATCAGGGCTGCAGGGACCAGGCAACACAGGTAAGTACACCCGCAAAACACATAATAAATGCTATTTGACAATTTGAAAGGCTGTAAAAAAAAGAGGGAAAAAAAGGAACAGACAAGACCTTATCTGAGCATGCAACCAACTTGCTCAACATCAACTATTCAAGATAAGATGACAAGCTTTCAACAATACAGTAAGAGCTCATCTATGGTTCTGGCAAGCATTTGCATTATTTACAGACATCAACATATTGTTAACTTGGGATATACTTGGCCATAGCCAGGTTTATTTGAACGACTGTCCAAGCATGCCAATTAAAAAAAAGGTCTCCATGGCCACTGCAGTGATGGAAGTGACTTTTTACTTTTTGGAGTATACTTTGGAGCAAGAAAAAGTACTGCTTTGGAGCAGCCATTGGTGTTTTCGGAGCACAAAAAAATGCTAGTTTAGAGCAGCTACTGGTGTTTTAGGAGCAGATATTAAATTTGCCTCACAATAATGAGAGTTTAGACCATTGTCAAAGCATCTTGTAAATACTAATATACTTATACACAACGATCAATGTGAGTTTGATGAAGCAAACAATGGCAGGCTGTGAAAAATGTGCTGTGAAATGGGCTACAATTTAAAATACTGGTATTTGTGACAGAAATCAAACAGCAAAAGCTGAATGCCACATTTTAGAAGTAACCAGACTCCCACATAACTGTTGCTAAATAAGCAGTAGCAGTAACATTTTGCTTTTTGGAGCAGAAAAAATGGTGCTTTCAAGCAACCTTAAGTGTCTTTGGAGCAGAAAATAATGCTATAGCTTAGGGTTGCTATTGGTGTTTTCGGAGCAGATGCATGTTTCTAATGACTCCTGAAGTCTAAAACATCACTTTAGCATTTAATAAATACTTATATTTATTATTAAACACGTCATATGCTAGTATGCAGCTAGTATAAAAGCAGTGTAGTTTGCGAAAAATCATAAGCGGGGAGAGGGAGGGGGGGTCAAGGGAGTTCGGACTTTTCTGGTGTTCAGGCTGGGGAGGACAACTTTTTGCGAATATCTCACTTAAGATTCAGCTTATAATTGAGTTAATAATTAAGTATAGCACGATCAACTTTTAAAAAGGCTTTTTATATTTTACTGCATACCTGTGTTAAATGCCCCTCAGCTGTGAACTATGGAAATCAAAAAAAGGTGATAAAAAAGAGACTGAATAGAACAATTCAATTGCTCGAGCTCAAACCCTATGCTCGTTTTTTGCATTTTATTTGAAAACATGATTTAATTTCTATATAAATATGAATACAACCCATATTAAAAATATGAATTGGACACCATGGCCTAATATGTGTGACCCCTTGACATTTTTCTGGATTTATGCCACTTAGTAGCATATTAGGATGATAGTGTATACAGCTTGCTTTCGTTTTAGCTTAGGCTGATGGGAAGGTCTAATGGTTCAACTTCATTCGTGTTAGTTTGCCAACATCCTTTTGGAACAGGTTTGGAGCAGTTGCTAACAAATATAGCACTTTGGAGCAGCATGGAGCAGCATTTCCCTTTGGAGCAGTTTGGAGCAATTGGAGTAGCACTTCCATCATTGCAGTAGATAATCAGTATGAAATAAAATTCATCTTGATCATTTTAACAGTTCACCATACTAGCGTGCAAGTCTAGCTGAAAAAAAAAAAAAAACCCTGATGAATGTGCCATATGCCTAACATGCCAGTTCTTGTTGCATTATATAATGAGACCAGAGCCGATAATGCAGCACACTAGTAGCATACTGAGGTATTAATATTCAAATTCTTTTCAGTTTATGACATGTGAACAGTAAAATTTTGTCATTAATGTTCTCTCAGTGCCATTTCGGAGCAGGTTTGGAGCAATTAGTAACAAAATATGTTGTTTGGAGCAGCGTGGAGCAGCATTTCCCTTTTGGAGCAATTGGAGCAGCACTTCCATCACTGCCACTGGCTTGGTGTTGACAATCGGCAGTGCCAATGGCCACCCTTTAAAAGGGGCAGCATTACGTTCACAGAGGCTACGTGCAGAATTAAAGCAAGAGAACTGCATTGAAATAGCAAGTTCATGTTCCAAAGATTTTGTAGCACACTGAATGTGTGCCCCCTCATTTGATTTGCAGTCTTCACATCCTATTAATGCGATCTAAGCAGCTTCATGTTTTCTGTGCCAAATGTGAGCAAAACAGAAGAAGATTCATGCAATATTAACTATGGTATATTAGCTATGATAAAATTTCTGGACAAATTGTTTCTAAGTAATGGAATTCTTGATTAAAGCAGACTGAAGTCTTTTTAAAAAGCAGACTTGTGGTTAAGAGGAGTGGTTCTTTTGCCCAAATGAAGGCAAATAATGGCTAAAGCACTTTAACACAGCTTTGAGATTTGTGGGTTACGTCATTGCCAATTCATCAAGTAAGGTTAGGCTTAGAACTTTACTCAAATTTCCTCAAAGCTAAGTGACTTGGAAGAATAGCGAAGGCAAACAGGTATTGTATGCATGGAACCACCTAGATTCACTGTGCGTTGGGGACATCAGTATATGATAATGTTGCTTTTACAGGCAATACAAGATGCTAATGATCCCAAAACACCATACTTCACCATTTAGTAGTGGATTTTTAACCATACAAGTAAAATTACTAGTGAAGACCGACACCAATGCAGCGAGAAAACCTGAACAGTCAGAAATCACTGCATTGTGATATAAAATCCTTACCCTGCAAGTTTTTATAGACACTTGGAATGAGCCTCAAAGGGCGACATCTAACTAATGTTCATGTAATGTTGGGCAGCATATCTGCTTCTTGTGTGCCCCTTTTTCTGACAGACTTCCTGGCACAGATGACTGCTGACAGACGTTACTACACAAAAAGACGCATAAAAGTCCTTATATAGGTGAGTATCACATATGTGTAATTCCCAATGCACACTTTGAATTTAATCAGGGTAAAATAAAACTTCATGGTAAATAACTTCTCATTATTCTAAGAACAGGACATAATGATAGTCATGACTGCCAGGGCAAACAAGACGCAAAACACGTGTTCTAAGTTCTAACTAGCCCAATTCACTACATGAAAAGGGTCATTGCCAAGTCAAGTAACATGAAATTAAACCTCATTTAACATTGCAGTGGTGGAATATTAAATGAAAATTTTCAAGCGCATAATAAAAAAAAAAGAAGAAAGCCTACATGGAGTGAGTTCACGACACATCAGGACTGAAACAGCTATTTATCTGGTAATGAAGACCAGTGGCTTAAATCTGGTAAAATTGCAAGGGGACACACACATCTGGCCATGGCACCGAACTTGTTTTTATTTTCATTTATGTAAAAATTAAAATCATGCTCTGAAAAAAAAAAAAAAACTGCATGGCTTGCTTCCCAGCACATAATTGCATTGCTCTATTGAGTAATCTTTGAAAGCGGTCGAGCGGCGGTTGCTGTTTCAAGTTTCATATAGCTGAGATTTACTAAACAGCAAGCTTACACACAACAAAATGAACATGCATTAACTAGAAAAAAGTTTGATGCACACTTAACAGTCAAGCGATTCAAATATATTGCATCTGAAAGAGAAAACTTCAAAGAGAGATGCTTGCAATGGCTTCCCCCCCCCCCTCAGCCTGAGCAGAAGGGGGTCAGAAACACCATTATTTTTGCCCCCCTTTCGAAATTTACAAAAACAAAACAAAAGGGTGGCATAAGGCTGCCATGGTTAATTCAAGGGACTTAGACTCAATTTGACAACTCTGTGTAATTACCTATCAATGGCCCCACAATTCATTTCACTTGAGATAGAGCTACCCCAAAAGCCTGTTACTAGGTTTGAGTACTGCTAAAAGAAAAGCACGCTTCTACTGTCAGCTAATTACTATGCCAGTGTCTAATGGCACGAGAAGAGCTGGAAGATAAAACAAAAGCCCATGTGTCTTCTTTAAGATGAGCTCATATGATATCATAGATATGGCACATTTATGTCACAGTTGAGCCTTCTGTACACAAATAACCAGCAGCAGTAGCAATTTGAGTATCCTAGATCTAGAGTGAATTAAAAAAAAAAAGACTGGCACACTTGCTGAAGTTCTACACTAGGCATGTTGGTCACTGTAGATTGCATCACTGAAGATTACATCACTATAGATTTTATCAGCATCACAATAGATTGTCTAGTGCAACTAATCTATAAAGCACAAAAATATGCACACATAACAAAGTGATTTGTTGTGTATAAGTAGAAACAGACTACATTGTGTTCTTAAGGAACCAAACAAAGAATTTCGTAAGTTTTTGGTACTTTAGCTAAGCCAGCATGCCCCTAATGCGGAAAAAAAAAACCTTTGCAATTTGCGATGTTAATCAACATATTAGTGTATTGTGGTGGTGGCACAAAATTCAGACACAGAACTGTTACCATCATTTTGTTTTCTAATAATAAACGTAATATGGTAATATTAATAAGACTAATGTTTTTTTTTTTTTCATGTCCTATAATAGATAAGTTTGTACAGCTTTTTAGTGTCCTTTTAAAAGGAAAATTACATCGGGCAGAAACTATTTTCTTCAGCACTACTTCGGTTACATAAGCTGTTAAACAAAAATGTTTTTGAACTGATAGATGTTATTATCATCGTCATCAGCACTGAAATTCATCCGGTGGCTGTGAATCTGACGAAGCGCTCTCGACGCATTCCAAGCAAGGGTGTGCAGTTAAAACGGGTTGATTACCTCTCTGCCAAGTGTGAACAAGGGTGTCAATGGACGAGTCCGCGCTAAGAAAACCCATGAGAAGAGAAAGGCCATTGTGACCTTGACTCCATACAAGTTACAAAGGCTTTGAGGGCAACTTGCGTGCATCTGGGTAATTCTATGATAAAAACATGAAAAGTTAGCCGTCGTTCTTCTAATGTCTCATTCCTCTGAGCATTTTTAGTCACTGCTTTTGTTAGAATAATATTCAGTATTTTGAATGAGCCCTATTTCATTCAAGTACCAAATCGAATAGAATGTTATTTGATTTGCTATTCGAGATCTTCAAATATTCACACACCTCTACGATTCTAACAAATAAAGCAGCTGTACAACTAAAATAAAGAAATTAATAAAAACCCTCAATAGCACTAGCATACTGAGTTTATTGATACATTTGAAGTGAGGAGCTAAAAATCGTACCAATAAACTGTGAATATAAACTTTTCAAGCTTTGCATCAGCATTGTAATGATTTTATGTTAGCCCCCTGGGAAGTTAGGACATAATATTCATCCACTTCAAGTTATCTGTAAACAATGTTTACAGAAGGGCGAACTTCATCCTTGATTTGTTGTTCACGCTTGCCCATTTTGAACAATTTGTGCTAAATATTAAAATCAATAATAATAATAATAATAATAATAATAATAATAATAATAATAATAATAATAATAATAATAATAATAATAATAATAATAATAATTGATGCGATTTAATATCCAATAATCATGATTAAAATATCCAAATTGATGAATTGAACTTACAAAAGAAGGGCAATTGTTCCGAGGGGCTAGTTTTTTTTTTATAAGGTACAAGCACCAGACACCAAGAAAATTATTAGAGACATTAATTATTTTTTATCAGTGGTGTCATAATTACAATATAACTGGACAGGAATTAAAGTGGATGAAAAAACATTTTTTGTCGGTAGGGCCCCAACCAACCACCGGAAAAGCGGTTTTGTTGTCCACATTAATTCATTCCCATTTATGTCATAGTTATGACACTGAAGATAAAAAAATACTTAATGTCTCCTATGCTTTCTAATAATTATCTAGTGGCTGAATAGTTCTCTAACGACACAATATTTTAGTTAGATTAGTGCTATTTGAATATATGACAACTGGAGTTGCACGAAAGCTAAAGCTTTTGCTTAAAACACTACAAAAGGAAACACCAAATAAGCTACTATGGAACGTATTAGTTGTTTAAGTGAAATGTTAAATTGCTGAACTATCTTCCTTCTGTTGGTGCATCTTAGTAATCCAGTGCATCATTTTATATGACTTTGTAGCCAACAGATGATTGACATGAAGACGACATTGCAAAGCAAAACCATTGGCACATCAGGACAGGAGCGATCCTCACACCCTCCAAAACTAATTGGACCCTTCCCCAGCGATGCACCTAATTTTTACTCATGGAACAAAGAACTAGTGACAAAATTGGGAAAACACATCACAAAATTTAGCTTCCATATATGTCGTCAGCTGCAAACCTGACAAACCACCTTTCTCCTCTCCACACAAGTAGGTGACTTGTCCGTGCCAGAAAAGCCCAGTGTATTAACTGTGGTAATAAACTAAACAAACAGCACTATTATAGTACAGAAAAACTGAAACCCATGGGACCTATAAAGTTTAACTGCAAATCAAAGCACTTAATTAGAGCCTGATTATAAAAAAAAGTCATTTCTGCCATTAGCATTTCATACTTTTGTTGGTTGTGTTTGCCAAGACTTTATAAACTGTAGGGGGTCCGTCCTATGCACGGCTGATGCAGAAACCTATCTAATGTTCCAGGCGCACATAGTCGTACCGCGCACGATTAACGTCTCCTATCCATAGCTTGTCTCATTGCAATAATTTTCAGATGTAGTTGTAGAATCATCACAGCATATATAAATCGAAATCTAACTTACAAAGGCAAGCTACTGCCCGTTAAGCATATTGTTCAAAAGTGTGCAAAAAAATGTGCAAGTGTATGTTCGTGGTGAGAGTGTTCGCAATTTCAGCCCCCAAAATTGAGAGGCTTGATCAGCCTTTAGAAAAAACGTGGAATATATACTTCACAAATTGAACTTCGTGCTACAATCTGTTGATCATCACTCAAGAAGACAACTATGCTAGTCATATGATGGTCTTCAATTCACTCTCTCAGCTGGAGCTAACTTTTCAATAAGTTTACTTTTAAAGGTTTATGCTAGCTGTTTTTGTGGCAAGCTGCTAGGATTGGGCAACACTCATTTTTATCATGAAAAATATTTTTTTTTGCCATGTGGATTTTCACATATCTTTTAGCAATGTTTTTCCAGCTTTCCAATACTTCAAAATGTTGAAAAAGTTGCTTCCATGCTGCTATCTACTAGCATTCTTCAGTGGCTCATTTCATAATCAACTTTGTTTGGCTTGATTCCTCACTATAAATTTTTGTCAAGGGCCGGTATGTGTAACACTAGATTCCTTTAGCTCAATTCCATTTCTTTCTCATCATTAAAGGGGCCCTACAACACTTTTTGAGCATGACCAGAAAACGCTGCTGACCGGTAGTAGAGGCTCCCGACAACATGCGAGCCAAATATAGCACAGCACACGGCCTGGAATTCACAATAAATTATAAAGGTCAGCTGAAAATTGCTTTCTCTTCTCTCTAAAAATCACATTATATGCCCAAAACTCACACATCAACGACCCATCTATTAACCATTGGCTGATTTGAACAAGGCGCGCTTACTCATTACAGAGATCGCCGCGGAAGGCCGCTACTTGTCCACGCGTGCGTGCGTGATCACACTGAAAAAGCCGCGCATTTGAAGAAAAAGAAAGTGCTCAAGGTCATGAAGCGCATGTGACGTTTTTCTGTGCCATCCCTTCCTGCTAAGCTTCCAGCGCTTTCGTCGGGACAAGAGAAGAGAGAACGCAATTGCAGCATGCGACAAACCTTTGTAACTCCACTCGCACTGGACGGATTCTTAAAATTTTTGCGGCGTTGAATTCGCGACGCAATAAGCTCTTTCAGTGAATTCACATTATGGTTACTTGAAAAAGTCTTTCAGGGCCCCTTTAACAATCCATTGCCAGCTAGTTCTTGTACCTATGTGGCTGATCATTTTTGTCATGTTTCGTTTGAATGTTAACTATATCAGCTTCAACTACACTATAACCTTGCTGATACACTTTTCTGGGGACCATGATCTGGAGAAAAAAAAAATGTAACATCCTTCAATGCTTGTGGTAGCATTATTGCTAAGTCAAAAAGCTACTTTTAGGTGAATTCTTTCACGAACTTGAATAGGAGGCCGACAAAATATAGAAAACCTGTTTAAGGTAGGCTTGTTATCACTGCGTGGCAGTTAACTTGAAATTACCAATGATCTTAATAGACAAATCACAATCTCTTTATAAAAATGAATCGCAAAAATTTTTTTTGTAACCATCAAACACGATAGCATAAAAGCATCATGTGTCTGTCCAATAAACTCAGTTGCATAACTTAGCGAGTTTTGCAGAATTACCATTTTCAGAGGCAAAACGTAGCGATCAACACAGGTGCCGTGACTAGCACGTTGATCACCTTGCAGTTTTCCGATGCAACAGCCAGCAAAACAAAGGTAACAAAAAGGCAGATAATACACATGACTCTGTGAAACTAAATTGGACCAGTGCTTCAGAGTATAAGAACTGGAAAAGCATGACACAAATGTATCAATGAGTTTATACAGTACCAATGATACTAGGTACTGAACAACTGTACATACCAAGTGCTCCTACACTGCTCATAAAGGTCATGGTAACACTGAGGTCCAAGTCTCCCTCAAAGAGCAGAGTGTAGAAGTTGCTGTAAATTCCACCAGGACATGAGCCAATAGTAAAGAGCCCAAGCCTTGTTACTGGATTCTGCAGAAGCAGTGTTGAACTTCCATAGGAAATCTGAAAGAGCATCAAAGTATAAATAGGAAATGTGCATTACAATGTTAACTTAAAGTTCCCATTTCCTATGCAGCATATAGTTTCATGTGCTGGTCCTATAGGCTGTACAAAACCTCTATGTTGATGCAAGGGCTGTTTCAAATGAATTTTCAAGCAGGGTAACTGCAGTTATTATAAAGATGTCATAGTTCACATTATATTCTCCTAAAAAATTTATGCTAATTAAAAATGTCTTGCTTTGTGGTACATGTCCAATATGCAAATGTATTCCAACTCACTATTTGACCAGTCTCACCATGTTTGCATTCCTTAATAATAATGGACATTGTATCACACTTTTTTCTTTCATTGAATCTCTGACAACATGTTTGACAGGCAACATCTGGCAATATGTTCAGACAAGGTCACTGCTATGTTGCCCCAAATTATTTAAAACAGTTCCTTATCATTTACAAATTCAGTTATTCAGATGTCCAACTGTCAGCTGTAATACTCATAGATGCATCAATATATCTAAGCCTGATTTCTTGTTGTATCGAATGGATTGTACACAAGCTTCAGGTGTAATATTACTTCAAATATGTTAAAATATCAAATATCCAATTTGATATATGTGTCGTTTTTTTTTTTCTTTTCAAATATTCAATGTTTGAAACTACCCCACTTCAGTGGCACAGGAAAGCAGGCACAGACTAGACAGATTTCTGCATCATCTCCCATGTGTGGCAAGAGGCATCTCAAGCTTATTTCTCATTCCAGACATAATGCCTTACCATATTTCTGCTGGCTAGAAAGATGCAATAAAACAGGTGGTTTAAAGTTTTTCTCTCGTATGCAAGAAGGACTATAGCCATATTTATTTTTCTCCAGCAAGGCACAATATAACTGATTTATTTCTGACTCAATTTACTACAGCCATGAATACTATCTTATGTACACTTTTCAGGTGTAAGAATACCTGTGCACAAATATGGGTAAGCATAAATGGACACAACTGTTACATACCAGAATGCATGCGAATGGCTTGCAAAAGTTTTAATATATTGTTGTACTTTACGTACAAGATATTTATTAAACAGAAGAGCTTATACCAACAGGAATTTGCTTTGAGTGCATGTCAGTCAATTGATTTATATTGGGCCCACTATTGATTATAAAGCTTTATGGCCTTGTAAGTATAACATTGTCATACATGCACTTTAGAATTTGAACAGAAAGTAAATGGTAATGATCTAGAATGGGGCTTGAATTTTTAATTGGTCCTATTAAAAAGAGACTTGATAAGTAGAGTCCACAACTTAATGATATTAATACTGACTTCAGGCTTTAGATATAAGGCCCCATGCTATCAATATTATTATAGAGGAGCAAAATATAGATAATTGGTCCCATTTAGAAGAGACTACATATGTAAAGTACACAACTTATGATGATAATACTGACTTCTGGCTTTAGATATAAGGCCTCCACGCTATTTGTATTATCATTGAGGAGTAACATACACAAATTTTTGTTGATAAAAATGCACCATAGGAACTATTTGCATTTAACCACTGGTACTACTCCCGCCTACTGTGACCAAAATTTATTTGCATATGCAAAGCATGTGAGATAAGAATTGCACAAATGGATACAATGGGCATTAAGGGTACTGCATTAAGTGTGTGTATATCAGCATAGGCATTTTTCTTTTATTGAATATTTTGACAAACTTGTTGGATCGAGTGAGGCAAGCAGAAATTTCAATTCAGCATTTTAGGTTAGGGGACACAAGAGGTTTACGTCATGCTTGTGAGCACAAGGTGCTTGGATCCCAGCAAAAGCCAAGCACATAGTGGTTTTTTAGATACGCAAGCCCCTTACATCTGCAAAACTAAAACTCTTTTATTTCATTTTTTTGGTCTGGAAACCATCAACACACAAATATACAGCTTGTTATTTTCAGAAGGGAGTTATTAGCCGTTGATGATCTTCCAGTGTACTGATTTAATCCTAGTATGGCAACATAACTCACCAGTGGCATAAAGATGAATTGGCAAAACATGCCAATAGCTGGAGCAACCGGCCTCTTGATTTGTGAGAGTACCACATGCATATCCAGCTGGCATCCAACATTGACATTGTTCAAGGCGACCAAAACTCCTATAACGGCTCCGAATCCCATCGAAAATACGGTCAACTGTCGCACAACAAGCATTTTGTGACTGCCTTTTGAGGTCTCATTTGTAATGCTGTCTTCAATTTGCCATAACAGGTTGGCATAACCAATCTTCAGTGGATCTAGAAGCGTTGAAAAGTTGTCACTCGGTGAGATGCTTTCCAGTGTTAATGCGATTCCGTCTTCATTCAGATGGACCACAGATGGATCACTAGAGTGCAGTACAATGGTTGCCCTGCTCAACTTCCGAGTAAAATGAAAAGTTAGATTGACGGGTTCGTAAAGCTGAATCTTCGTCTCAGAACTAGTAAAATTGAGCATACACATTGACGATTGCGCTAGTAGCAATACTGCAACACAAGAAAGCAGCAACATGCTGGTCAGTGCACTAGTCCTGGCGGTAAATCAAGCTTGGTTCGACAAGAGGGGAGCGGAGATAATACCTCGACCTTTCGCAAACACCGTTGATCAGCAACGACAATACGCGGCAGACTAGCGAGCAAGTGAAGCACTTTTATCGCTTCCATGCCTGCCGAAGCAAGCTGATAAAATGTGAACGAGTATACAGGAACTCTAGATTTAGGAACCATTTCATGGCACCTTGCATGGCGGTAACGCAAATAGCGAGATTTAGAGGTACCCAGGCCTCGAGTTCGTTTGGTTTGCGAGATCAACGCAAATGAGCCTCGAGGAACGTTTGATCACGCACACTACTTTCCAAATATAGCATGGTTGTTCGTAGTACGCAAAGCTCTGGGTATCCTATTCCACAATGATCCAATGTTTCGGTGTCGCATTTGAAGCATCGCGCAGTGCACTTCTCCGACCAGGAGCAATGCCGCCACAGCCTCGAGTCACGCTACATTCAATGGTTTCTCTTGTGAGTCGTTTAACGTTCAATTGACGCATCTAAGCAAACAGGTCAGAAAAGCAACAGGTGCAAACACAGTAGGTAACATCACTTTCTTCTCACTGCACAAAATAAGTCATCGCTCAATACTGGCAAATCATCGCGCAGTGCGCCAGTGATGATCTAAGCACAAATTCACAGTTTGAATAGAATTCTAGCCACTGAAGTTTGGAGAAAAATACAATGCACAGAACGAGGGTAGCGTGGACACTTGTGGGCTTAGGTTGAGGCATAAAAATTCGATGGGCTGAGGAGGGTACAGGTAACACGACTCCTGATCCGGGGCTGACGACGGCAAGTGGATTCATGAACGAAAGGTATGTTGCAATCAATCGCTATGCCTTACTGCTTGAACCAAGTTAACCGACACATGTGCAAAATTAAAAAAAAAATCACAAAGGTAACTTCGATGACTGTTTTGATACTGCAGCTCGAAACCGAAACTGACTGACTTTGTGCTCAGTCAAAACACGGCTGCTGCTTATTGTGACGGTTGTAGGTGCTGGAGCTGCGCGTATTGTATGATGTGACTACCGTACCACTTTGCGGGCTCTTCTGTGTCTTTTTTTTTTCTTCCTTTCTTTATCTTGATTTTAGTACGCGGAATGCAACTCCTTCACTTACAGTTCTGTTGGTTCAACATACTCTTCATATGCGCTGCGGTAAGCTTCAGATGTTCATGCCTATTAATCCAAACGCAAGAAACCACCCTTGTCTCCTGTGTTGCGCTGTAGTACACTTACGCGCGAGCGTGAATCTTAAGATCGAGCCCGACACGCATTGAATTTCTCGACGGTGATTGAATCTTTTCCGCAGCTTGTGCAAATAAGGCAATCTCAACTGAGAAATTGGATCCTGATCTGGCTCAATCGCGATCGAGAATACAGTGTGCGACACCCGTATCATGAATGACGCTTTCTGGGTAGTCAGCGATTACTTTCCTTAATCAGATAATGGATGTAAAACTAAGTACCGAGACATTGTGTTTTGATTAAGGGCTGTATTATGCACTGGCCTACAATTATTGTTATATGTTCAAACCAATATTTAATGAAACTAAGTTTTCTTAATAACCAAAGGAAACACACCGAGCTGTAGAACAGAATCTTTAGTGTATTTTTTGTTGTTGTCTTCCTGAAATTAGATTAACATTTGTGAGCTGTCATTGACCTCAAAAATGTCTTTAATTGCTTCTCTTTTAAGAAAGAGAGAACAGAAACAGGACAAACAATTTAGTCATCAGTTTTCACCATTCCTGCCTGAAAGATATTTATATCAATTGTGTTGTTCATCTTGCTCCAACTTACCAGATAGAAAGCTTCTGCCAGAATGGAAGAGTTTGTTACACTACTTAAATAGAAAAAGAAATTTATTCTGACATTCATTATCTTTTGCTCTCCAGGATAGGTGAAATGGCATCTACATTTTCGAGTGCTGTAGCTCTAATAACTGCTGGAGACCTTCATTCTCTTGAAAGGTCTCTTAATAACAAGCATGTGAGCCCTGATGAACGAGACGAGGTATGTAACTCCTGGCCTTTATTTTTTTCTTTGTCGAATGAAGTGTGCTGTTTTTTGCTTCTTTTGGTGTATTGGCACTGTAATAAATTCATTTGGTTTGCATGTTCGTAGAATGGTCAAACATTGCTGATGATAGCTGCACAGTACGGACAACTTCCAATTGTTGAAGAACTGATACGACAAGGAGCTGACATTCATCTAGAGGACCTTGTAAGCAATACTTTTTTGCCATTGAAGGGCCTTGTATAATATAAAATGACTTGTCACACCAATTCCAACATTACTTAAGACCAGCACATGCAACCGTCCCATTCTGTTCTTTGAGTTCTGTGTTTCGTTGCTTTTTTAGCTTTTTAAGAAGGCTTAATTGGCTGCAGTTTTTAGTGACCATTAAATGATCTGGTGTATTATAGAATGTAAACAACTTGTCACGTCAATTGAAACATGCTTTGAAAACAGTACTCATGGCTGTCACATTCTGCTCTTTCAATTCTGTGTATCACTGCTGTTCTAGGGTCTAGCTTTTACAGCAAAAGCTATTATAAAATCACAGCACGGGTCACGCCCGGTGCCGCTGCCGGTTTCTGTAACCGCTGTCGCACGAAATAAGAAAAAAGAAACTCAAACAAAAAACACCAAAGACGTGTGGTGGCATAGTGGGATTAAAACCCAGGTCCAGTACGTACTAGCCCAGTATTATTGTAAGAGGTAAACAGCGTGAAACCTCTTACAATGAATTGTTACCAACTTGCCCAGTTTTCAATACAGCCCAGTATTGCACCGCTGAGCCACGCCGGTGCTCGGGTCTCGTTCGGAAACTTGCCTTAGGCAGGCTTGATTTCAGCAAAGGAATCGCGTTAATATTAGTAATAAAGCGTTCTAGCAAACCAGGTGTTGCACAATGCAAATCGCATAACGAGTCCAACACATTACAAAAGCTTGTTCTTCGTCAGCTAGGAACTGTGGCACATGCCCACTTCAGGCTTAATTCTTCATCGTCGTCAGCTGCTGAATACAACACAAAATTCGCACAAAATTCGTTGCTAGTGTTTAGTTGATACCACGCTTCTCCGAAGAATGACGAAGGATAGTTTAGTGATTGCCGGCCTACTACTCAGAAATTATGATTATTTATGGTGTAGTGGGTACACAGCTAGTGTGGTTCTAGCATTCACCCAAAGAGTGTTTTGAAAAGGCTCTGAAAGGCCGCTCATGGTGCTTTCACTGCGACTGTGCTGCACGTTCCGCGCAGGCCTGGCGATTTTTTTTAGTGCAGTACTGGGTGGCCCGAACATTTACGTTCCCAGCTTTCGCTTGTTTTTCATGCTGGGTGATTCCTTGCCTTTTATGTAATTTTATCATGGCAGTATGCTCAATCACTTTTTTTACCCACTTCTGCAGGACAATTGGACAGCACTACTAAATGCTGCAAAAGAAGGATATACAGACATTGTTTCAGAACTTGTTATGCACAATGCAGATATTGAGCATCGAGACGTGGTGAGCTGCTTCTCCACAGTTTTATTGCTTTTATTAGTTGGAGGGGTCCTGCAGTGCTTCCTGTACAGAACATGCTTAATATGTTTGTGCTTAAAGGGTATATTTTCTTGGAAACCCTGTCTGACAAAAATCTTTTAAATTTTACCTTGTATCAGAAATGTTGTTGGTAATCAAAATGCTCACAGCACAATTACTTCCTGTATTTCCCTTTCCTTGTTTTTTTACAATGAAAGGTGTTATGAGATCACAACACGGTCGTTTTTGGCACTGCAGTTGTCTGCCGCCAGTGTCCTTAGCCACTATTTTGCAGAAACAACAACAGCAACAACAACAAAAAAAACTTAATGAGAAAAATATGCTGCATGAAACAAAGTTGAAATATGGGCCCTCTCCATAGCAGTCCAGTATTCTATCACTGAGCCATGCCGGTGCTTGAAACTCCTTCGCACAAAGACGCTATACAAGCTTCAAGTCGAGTAGGAAGCACTTAACATATGTATCATTGCATGGTAGAAGAGTAAAATAACAACCAGGCTTCACATAGTGAAAATAGAATAACAAGGGGGTTGTTGAATGCTTCCAACACATTACAAAAATCTCAGCCATAATACTTCGTCATCAGCCACTGCATCAGCAAAAGTGCACATAATGCCTTGCAAGTGTGTAGCAGGTGCCTCACAGATGTGTAGAAAGTGCCTCACATCTCCACAAAATGAGGAATAACGTTAAAATGGGTGCTTTCCAACTTGACAGAAATGATTTATGTTGTAGTGGGTACGTTGCAAGTGTAGTCGTATTGGTAGCCCCAAGATGGTTTATCACGGGCTCTAGAAATGCTGCTCTTCCAGCTTTAGCTGTAATTGTGCTGCGCTTTCCGTACAGGCATGGCATTTTTACAGCAAAAGCTGTTATGAGATCACAGCTCCGGTCACGCGCGACACTGCAGTTGTCCGCCACCGGTGTCCGTAACCACTTCGCACGAAATAAGAAAAAAAAATCCTGGTACCAAGGACACAGTGGGACTCGAATTCGGGTCCGCTGTGTGCCAGCCTAGTATTTTACCACTGAGCTACGCTGGTGCTTGGGACTTGTTCCCAAACTTGCTTTAGGCAGGCTTGATGTCGGGAAAGGAATCGCGTTATTATGCATAATAAAGCGTTTTAGAACAGCAAGAAAAAAACCAAGTGTCGCACAATGCGAATAACGTAACGAGTTGGTCGTCCAATGCTCCAATCTATTACAAAAGCTTGTTCTTGATCACCTATTAACTGTGGCACATACCCACTTCAGGCATAATTCCTCATTGTCTTCGGCCACTGCATCAACAATTGGCACAAAATTCCTTGCTAGTGTTCAACGGATACCGTGCTTCTCAGAAAAATGACAAAGAATAGCATAGAAAATGGTGGCCTACTACCCATAAATTATTATTATTAATGCCATAGTAGGTACTCAGTAAGTGTTCTTGCAGCAGTTACCCAATGAGTGTTTAGAAAAGGCTCTGAAAGCCCGCTCTTCTAGCTTTCGCTGCGTTTGTGCTGTGCCTTCCATGCAGGCATGGCATTTTTTTTTATTTTTCCTACCTACTACCCGTATCTATGCCAACATGAAACAATACTACTCACCATCCGCACTTGTGTGGAGCTTTGATACTGGCATGGCCTCCTAAATGGCTTCATTGTCTTGCTCAAGTGTTGAAAGCCATTAGTGTTGTTGTTCACTGCCAAGTGAATCCTCTGCTCCAATAGTAATGACATCTGTCCTTTTTTCGCTCATTGAATACACATCTTTTTTTTAACATGTATCACAGACTATTTGATTGCACATCTAATGGCATCTGCTTGCACATTATGAGCATTCTATTTATTGTCCCCTAACAGTATAACAATTTAACTTTGTACTGCAGATATTGTTTCTGTACACTCAAATATATAAAAATAGTTTTTGTGTCTTGTCTTTTTTTGATGTGTACTTCTTGAAAATTTTTTAATGTGTGCACATCACTATTGTAACATTACTTTTGTCATTGATATATGCTTTTGAGCTGTCAGTGTTTAATTTAAAAAAAAAATTATTTGGGAAGGCATGCCTTGGTCAGTATGAGCAACATATTGAGACTTGAGTTTCATGGTTTGTTTTCTTTTCGAAGTAGAGTGAAGTAAACTTCATGTTAAAGTTACCATGCAGAAATTTGTGGAAGTCGTAACATATGCCATGGGGCCAATAGTTGCCATGTCTCTCAATACGTATACATCAATGTTATAATTGGTAGGAATTTTAGACAATAAAAAAAAGTGGGAGTAGGGTTAGGGTTTATTGTAATATTGGTGGCCTTCTGCTGTATACATAAGAGTGTTTATTGTCTCAGGTGCTCATGAATATATTCTCTGTAGATTACCCAGATCTCACTTTATGTACTCAAAAAGTGTTCTGGAATAAAAGTGTTTTTGATAGCACTAGCACCATGAGTCTTGCCTTTCACTTTTATCATCAAGCTTGGAATTTTCTATTTATAACAACAATTATAATGAATGTATTGCGCATTGCAGAACTACGTGTTGGCTCAGTATTGCAGTACTACGGGGACTTTACCAGATGTATAAATTTGAAGTGAAAAAATTATTTGGTCAAATAATTTTGAATTGCATTCAAATAGTCTGTATTGCATATTATCAAAAAATGGGCACATTTGTCATTACCCAACTAACCTGCACAATATATATATATATATATATATATATATATATATAATGAAATAAGGCCTGTGCAAATGCCATTATATTTAGTTCAAAGGAAGTGGAAGAAACTCTGTCATTAGTAGTAGCAGCATTTGACTTTTTGTAGAATGCAAGCGAAAACCTGTAAAATATGTTACATTTCAAAGTTTACTATACTTAGAGCATATAAGCCAGTATAGCAAGCTTTTATTTCAACTTAAGAAATGATGAATTGATGCTAGGGCAATATGATCATTTAACCTTGAAGTAAGGCTTCACGACAGTGTGGATTTTTTTTTATAGGTGTTTTCACTACTTAGCACCTCTTTACTGCAATGAAACCACCTTCACAAAGTTGCATGCGTACTAATGTATGTTTATTTGTTCATTTCGAATATTTGGAAATTTCCAATAGTTTAAATTTGAATAGAATGGAAACCAATTTGAATACTGTAATATTCGTTCAAATATTTGCACAAGCTTACTCTGAATGTTTTTGTGAATTAGAATAACTCATTCACCTAGTTATATCAGTTTATCAATGTGCACCTTTTCCTTCATAATAAATTATAAATTATTCATAAATAAGAAAGAGTGTGTTATTGCATGTCACCCTCATGGGGTCTGGTGGCCTCAATGTTCTGTGGAAGTCCTGCATCTCATTGCTCATTACTGAAGTCATGTGTTGCCTCTCTGTGAGTTAATGGCTGGATACAGATGGTGCCTCATGACTATAAAAAGTCATGCAGAGTGATGCCAAAATATCGGTAGTTTCATTGTATGAAAATTGTTATTTATTCATGAAAAAAAAAGTTAAAAAATAATAAAGGTGGACAGTTTACATCTCCTTTAATTTCGTTATTGACTAATATTTAATTAACATTACTTATTTGAATCTTTTTAACTTAATGGTGTGAGACCTCACATCATAGTCTCACTTTGAAATGGAACTGCTTATTGGTATGTTGCTTAGAAATAAATATGCACCAAGGAGAAAGTGTGGTAGACATGATTTGGGGTCACAGATAAGACAAAGCTTGTACATTTCTATTTCTTCTGGTGGCAGTGAAAGCTCTCCAAATTATCAAAAGTTACAATGAATCCTAAGTCAGCACTGTATGTAATATGTGTACTCAATTTGGCATGACAAAATTGGGAATGTTTATCATTCATTATAATTCATATGTTACCATTTAAGTGCTATGGGACAACACTGCTGTTTTGTAGTTGCAATTCCTTCATTTTCTGTGTACTTTACCTCAGTTCTAATATTCTGTCCTGGAGAAAGTGCATATATATTATCATTACCTGTGCAGGAATAATTTACTGCTTGCAATTTTGCTCATTCTAGGGTGGATGGACTGCCCTTATGTGGGCATGCTACAAGGGTCACACGGAGACTGCTCGGTATTTGCTGGAGCAGGGGGCCTTTCCAAATGTGCATGACCTGAACCACATGTCCTGCCTCATCTGGGCAGCAGGCCGGGGGCACCAGAGTATTGTGGGTGACCTACTCAGCTACGGTGCGAAAGTCAACTCTGGTGACAAGGTGGAGCATATATTATGATATACAACTGTAGGAGTTTTCTAACTGGGTTTCATGGAAATAGAGGTTTCTGTGGACCATTTTGTTTAATCTATCAGTCACCTAAATAAACAAACCATTATTCTTTTCGGTGCACTTTTTTTTCAACTGCAATACTAGTAATTAAGTTCATTGTATTCTGCCAGAGGTGTGAATCTGCTTACTTTCTATGTTATTTCATCTCTGAGCAGAAATTCTTAGGCCAGAAATATACTTAAAAAAAAAACCCTCAACAGGTGTATTCTTGGCCTGACAACTGATGCGTCAAAGATATCGAAGTTGTGTTAGTGAGTTCTCACACTCTTGGAAGTACTTCTTCTAAAGCACTATGATTCTGTTTGCCAGCTCATGTCCTTGTTTGAAGATATCAACAGTTGCTGCTGTATATGAGCACAGTCACAACTGATCATGATCACTCCTGTGAAGACCCAGCACCACATAATCAGCTTTCATCAATGCAGCCATAAAAACACCTTGCTGACTGACAACAGGAAACTGGTAGAAAAAGACTGGGTGGAGGGGAGAATGACTGATTACTGGTTAAGAAAAGCTGTTGGTGTCTTTCTGCTCGACCATGTCTTGTTTGCCAGTATCATGTTACATGTATATTAGTTGGGGGTCTGTATGAATGAGATATGTGCTAGGTAACTTATAGATATTTTATAGTCATTGATCATAATATTTTAAATCAAATTTCGGACTCCAGCACAAATACTAGCGCATTTAGATTTGGTGCTGACCACACTGTCGTACGCTGGCCTTTTTTTGCTGCACAAAAGTTATTGCAAAACTTCCCTAAACAGTTCCTCTGTCAAATGGGGGAAGGGTGGCAGAACCAGAAGTTACCACTATCGCAGGGCTGCAGACTGAGCACAGTGTTCATGCTATACAGGTAAAAAAAAAAAAAAAGTGGCTATTCGCTGTCAATTGAGCTCCCTCCAGCCATTGGCGTCCTCATGTTATTGTGACCATGCGGCGGACTGCCTTTGCACTGCACTCACAACAGAAATCTCAAAGTAGCGTGTCAGAGCGGGTTATAAAGTGGCCGCAACACCATATACTGGAGGGGAGTGCTTCGATGGCAAAAAGCCGCTTTTTTCTTGAGTTGTATTTGAGTATAGTATGCATATTCTGTTAATTTTTTTCTGGTCTATAATAAAGTTAACAATATTATTCGATCAGCTGTAGAGCTTTTTAAATAGATACAGATACATAGTCTTCATTAGAAGCACATCTCGGCAAAGATAAATAATGTGGTTTTTCAAGTCCCTAAATATTGCTGACTCGGTTCCCTCTGCTCAGGTTGTCTGGCGATAACAGCATCCACGAAGAGTTACGGCAAAATGTGTTGCAATTACTATAATTATACTTTTCCACATGTTCCTTATGTTCTATGCAATAGAATTAATTATGGGCAACAACAGTGACTCGTAACAGATGTCAGTGGTGAATATATTTACTACAATAGTAATTATAGGGACACTCCAAGGTAGCGTGCAGTCTACAACACGATGTTAGAAGTATTTTAGGTGGACCGACGGCGCCTCCGGAAGCGAATAACTTCTGTTCCATTTTGTGAAGAGGGCCCGAGATGGTGCCACGATGACCGTGGCTTAAGCGTAGGTCGCTTCGGTGTCGTGGAAGCAACTCCAAAAAAAAAGAAAAAAACTTCTGCCCCTGTTTAATAATGAGTGCAAAAGTAAATAAATTATTAAAAGCAGCAAAGAATTACTACATTTTGACGATACAGTGTAGATAGCTGTGGAAAATGTTTGATTTAGCACATCGAAGGTTCGCGAAGGAGCACATGTTTTTGCATTCACAAACATCAGATCGTGAATCCAGACATGTGACGGTAAAATCTCATGTAATTATGACAAAAGCTAGTTCTTGATTGAAGTAATGTTTACATAGTAGTTAGACAAAAATAACTTGTTAGTCGAAGTCTTGCAGTAATTTGAATTTTCGCCGGTGCGGTCGCATTTTGATGAAGCAGGCCTGAGTGCTGTGTAATGAGAAGTGTGTGAAGTTGAGCTTCTTGGTACATATTTAAAGAAAACAAAAACGCGAAAAAACGAAAGAAGTCACAGACGAAACACCATTCTGCGATGCCAGTGCACGTTACAGAACACCACATTGTTGAAAATTCCTAAGCCTTTCGCTACGGCATGCCTCATATTCATGTCGTGGTTTCAGCACATAAAAGCGCAGATATTTTCATAGTTAACAAGCGTAGTTCTCGCTTGGGGAGAGGAGAATAGCACATGTAGGTCTATAGAGATTTTTCAAAGCAAAGGAGCAGCTCTTAACTCAAAAACGGCAAATTTATTACAGTGATATAGAGATGCATTCATACCTAAATGGCCACAAACAGAATAGTACAGCACTTCAACTGAAAAGGAAAGCAGTGTTGAAGACACATGTGAAAAACGAAAGCTATGCATTGTGACTTCGAGTTAGCAACTTACTGGACTAGTTTCGAAAGCTTGCACAACCTTTGAGACTTGTTTGCCTCATTCTTTTTAATTCGTTTGCAATATTGGCACATAAGCACTCCTACATAATAGTGGAGCACTTGTGCCATCATGTCTATTCTATGTTTCATACATGGAAATGAGAGGTTGTAGTTATCTAACACAAAGTCAATAGTCAAATCATACACTTCTTTCTGAAATTTTGCTTCTGAAATTGCTTCTGAAGTTGCTTCTGAAATTTTCGCTCTGCTCCTTTCAAAAGATCAAATAGCATGGCATTAGGGTGCATAAGTCCTCCTTTTGTCTTCAAAACTACAAGAGCTGATGCAGCTCTTGACATATCAGATGTCCCAGTCAGTCCAAGCTTGCACTTGGAACAATTTGTATTTTTTAGGAGTTTTTGGCAAAGAAACCCACATACATAATAAATTATGCAGTCGGTAACGCTGTCTGATGCAGGCATTGAGTTAAATACATCGTCGCACTCTATCTTATCCTGCGCCAATTCGTCAAGCCTGTTCTTAAGCTCATTCAAGTGTGACTGGCTGGCCAGATCCTCTTTGAAAGCTGATGTTAAATCACGCAAGCTAAGGAGTCGTCGCTCTTCACTAGAAAGTAACTGGCAATTCCCGTACTTGGGTGACTTTACGAGACTGTAAATGAATAGCATGCTGTATAATTGCAAAAACGTTGGCAAGCAGAGATGTTCATTTCTAAAAACTTTTCCAAAACATCTTCATTAAACTTTGCAGTTAACACATATTTGAAGTCGCATTTCTCTAACAAGTAATTTTACATCTGAATTGTTGACAGAATAGTCACTCGCAAGTCCTCAGCAGTGGTTTGTGAAAAAAAAAAAACAGATCAATTCGTCCTGTCTTCACTACTTCTTCCCAATTATTGAGCCATTGTAGAAAGGACTCTAGCACTTCAAAATCCTTTCCGCTAATCTTAGACCTTTCTTGGGCTGTCTGCAATTCATGGCATCAAAAATGTTGTTAATTCGCACTGTGAAATCGTCTTTTTCCATGCATGTGTTGTGGCCAGATTTGCACTGTGGCACAAAACACTTCTTTCCCATTTCACGACTTGCTCACACGAACAGCATGGACTCTCATTGCGCATGCACAAAAAAACAACAATGAAAACAAGAGTGCAACGGACGACAGCTCCTTTGTCTGGACAACACCGTCTGAACGGTGCCCGCTCGCCACTCGCAAGGCTGTAAGCCACATGACTACTCCTGCCATCTCGCGGCGCGGTGGAGCAGAGGAATCAAAGTTGAGTGCTGCGAGCTCACGGCTGTGGCGCTCTGTCGTTCCACCTATACTTCCAACATCGTGGTCTACAATGCACCTAGCTAGAGCAGGGGTAGGATTAATGTGAGTGCTGTGCAGTGCTAAAAAGGACATGATTAGCATGGGGAGGGGAGAAATAACTATAATGGGGGATTTTGCAGTGGAAAGGGGCAAGGGAAGTTGGGTGCAGGAGAAGTGTGCACGCATCTCCTCTTCTAGTCCAGGCAGCATGAGCATCCGTGCCGTTACTTTATGCAGCTTGGATCATAAAAGGCGACGATTGTTGCAAAGGTTGATTGAGCGAGCTGAGAGGCTGGCCATTTTGTGTGATCGGTCTCCATGCCCCCTATATTTGAGGTCACATTATTCTAGGAAAGTGGGAGACAATGCAATGTACTTAGTTAAATCTGTTTGTGTTGTTCATCATTCCATTGTTTAAAGGCAGTGTCGCAGTCTTGAAGTGTTGTGTGTTCATATTTTTGTGAGTTTGTGTAACATTATGTTTATTATATAAATTAGTATTCTGATGTTCACTGCAATATATAGGGCCAATGAAGATATCAACCTTGCTGTGTATTGTCTAATGCAATGCTATTGCTATCAAAGTGTCACCTTTCGGGTGAAAGATAAATTTTAAATTGTTGGTTATTTCAATATTCCTGTTATGTTGTCATGCTTTTAGCTTTGGCTGGATTCTAATTAACTATGCATCATGTTTCCTTAACTCATTGCAGTAAAAGCTTGTTAATTCCAACTCAGTTCATTCGAATTGACGACCTGGTCCCGGCACAGCTCTGTGTACTTCTATGGGAGAAAATTCCCGATAGTTCGAACAGGTCGGTATCCACGACGGTTAGTTCGAAATGGGAGCCCCGTTTCTCATAGCGCCATGCAGATGTTAGTCTAGAGTGATCACAATGTGTTGCATAACCAAACCAAACTAAATTTACTAGGGATGCAAAACAACGAAACAGAAGTATTTCTCAGCATTTGAGATTTCAGATGCTGCGCTGAATTCTTGGGCAAGCTACAAATGGTGCTCATGCGTTCGCAACGTAAGAAATGCAAGCAAATGAAAATTACTGATTGTTGTTCCGGCTCTAAGTTCGGGGTAAGCCTATAGGTGGATAGCAAAAGCGTGGCTGACGCAAAGGATTGTGGGCTATGGCGCCCGTCTGCACCGACTTCCGGTTAGAGATGCCGTACCACCATACAGGCATTCTTGCCAGTGCCATGGCTTTCTACTTGTTCCACCCAGCACTTGCGGTGCCCTTCTCTGACAAATTGCTGCATAATGCTTTGGAGAGCTATGCAGTGTAGTTGAATAACAAATGCAGTCAGTATGAGATAGTTTTAATCGTGCGAGCAGTCATTTCTTAATTCAAGCGGCATGCACCTTCGCATGCATGCTTGTTGTTTTGCTGCAAAGGGTGTTATCACTAATTTTTTGTCACATACAATGATTTTCTGGACATCATAGCATCACGAAATATCCATTCATTTGTTTTTTATACTGCTTACCTGTAAATTTATTATTTATTTGCTTTTGTGTTACAATGACACCATCTCAGGTTTGATATAGTGAATGGCAATAGTCAACTGTTTCTTACTCTGAAAATGAAATGCGCTCATAGTTTTCTGGCTTTTTTTACACCTTTCCATCTTCCTAACGTGAGATATCATTCCCTCACGTACTTGAGCATTATGTTTCAATATATGCGCAATTCTCTACACACAACACACATAACGCAGCCTATCGGCACTTCACGCTTGCAAGTCTGACGCAATAGAAATGCCATACCATGCAACTCGTTGTATCAAAATCTACTTCGGTGATTTTACGTCCCACAATGCCATTAATAGAGCGGCCGTTTTGTTCCGTGGGCCTTTTATGTGCTCAGTGTTTTTCATAAATCTGACAGAGTATGCGTACTTCTGTTGTCATCGAACGTATGTTGACATTTGACAGTATGTGCCGATAAGTGTGAGTGATTTTCAAGTGGTCACCGTTTGTGCTCGAAAATACTAAATCGAGGGGGTTCTGGAAAAAATAGCTGCATGTATCAAAGCATAATCGCATGCTGCCTTCAAAACCCCCCTCTTACCGTTCTTCACGTTTGTCCCTTTTCACTTCTCGCTTCGTTCTCTGAAATGCACGAAAATTGTCTATCCCTTCTAAAAAAAAAGGAAGAACATAATCTTTGAACAAGTAGCAACAAACGCATCACAGAATTTCACGTGTTTCCTCCCCGATTACACTGCACTGTAGGCACCTTGAAGCAACGAAATGATAGGCCTTGAACCGGAAGTACGGTAGCAGACGACGTGCCATTTGGCTATGCATGTATTATTCGAGGTAAAGTTTCCAAAAATTTTATTTTCAATAACACCATAGACCTCTAATTAGGTATACGTCCTGAAACTCACAAACATCCGTGCTACAGTCTAAACCACCACATAGATAATACGCTCAACTGTACCGATCGTTTGATTTCACGGGCTCGCACCCGATATTCGAAGACATTGCAATCGAATTGCGAACCACCATTCGAGTGTTACAAGCACCACCCAAGCCCCCTATTCCTCAAGTAGAGCCACCCGAAAGAGTTAGGTTGATTCCGTATAAAACCGCAACATCATCGCTTGCGACCGCCACCGAAAACACGAACAGTGATTAGGCCTAGCCTTCGGTTCGGCATGCTGTCGCCTGAAATTTGTACAAGACAACATGAATATTGTGTGTCGAAAAGATTCCGCTCAAGCACTGATCCAAGAGCAGTGCGTGTAACGATGTTTTGGTTTGCGACCAGGAAATCAATGGTGACTGTTAAGCTTGTAAAAGTTCGCGTAGTGGTAGCAAAGGCGAAAGCTTGCATCGGAAAGCCGAAAAGGTTTTATATTTGTGGACGACGTAGCAAACGCGATAAGCATGACATTTTTTCCGAAAGGAAACTTAATACACACTCAACAAGAAGGCAATCGCGCATTCCATACGGAGCGCACGCAGCTGGCTAGTGGCCGGAGCTACGCTACGTCTGCATGTTGGTGCAAAGGTCACTCCAGTGCCCAGGCAACTGCCTTTTCTCCTCACTCGGCAAGCCTAAAGCCCCTTTATGGGCTTTCCGCTGGTTAGGGCAGTAGACGCGATGAAGGGGCTTTAGGCGAGCTTGCGGAGCTGGCTTAACCCTGCTGCAGTTTTTTTTTTTCTCTTTTCTCGCTCTAGTTAATGTAAGAGGGCATCGAATGGCAACCATGCAAATATGGTACAGAAGTACTGATCACGGCCAAGTTCAGGGTGCGCCTATTACGCGTGGAAATAAAGAAATTTCATTTTTCGCGACCAAACTGGGCGTGCGCCGATTATGCGAGTGCGCCTATTAGGGAGTTTTTGAATTGGGGCCCCAAAGCCCTTTGCATATGCACGCTTTGGGTCAAGTAGGAGGGAAGAGTTTTCGAGTAGGGTCTGCAACGCTTTGCACATCAACGCCCTATTCTAAGTCAGCCATCACTTCAGGGGGTACGTCACGTTTGTTTGTCCTAAAGCATTTGGGGCAGGTTTTGGGGCGCCCGCTAAATTCGAAAAATAGTGTCCCCAACAGAAAAGCTAAACGTGGTTTGAGTATGGCGCATGCGCAGTGGTCTCGACGCTATTTCTTTGGGGCCCCAAAACAATAATTTTGATTGTGTTAACTCTACCATGGCAATAAACATGTTTTAGAGCATAAATAGTGTCATGTATTTGTTCACATGAATATATACGTACTACATACTGCTCACATGAATGCATTACAGTGTTTGTTTCTGGGGTATCATTGACTGATGAATTATGTTTGATTAAAGGCTCCATGAACTTAGCCCCTTCAGTCACGAATAATGTGTTGGAAGAAACATGTCAAATTCACGTGGCATAATTAAAGGCATTCAGTATTACATTCCTAGTAATAAAACAAAGGAAAGAGTTGTTTTGTGCAAGATTTAGTAATTAACAGTAATGAGTGTGTAACTAAATATCTAATCATTCGGCCACCAGTCAGCTTCAGTACTTGCATAAAAAGAATCCACTATTAGGCCTAAAATGCATGAAAAGTTTGTTTTTTAGTTGTACTTGTTTCGAGCGAACAAAAAATAAACATTGGTCCTGGAACGCGTCATGTCGAACAATTGTTCACTGTGGTGTGTATCCAGCAAAGTGATCCTCTGCAGAAACACGCAGCATAATCAAGTTAAATGATCACTAGTTGTTCACTCAAGAGGCCTGCATGAATTTGCACACTAGTTTCAAGCCATTTGATGAAACACGCAGTGCTGACCTGCCATTGAAGTTGGCGTCTCCATTTGTACATACATTGACTGAAAGGGTTAATTTACGAAATCATCTGCCACAAACCTGTAGTAGCACCTAATTCGTGATTACTAGTTCAAAAGTGGCTTCTTTGGGTTCTGCCTGTACAGTGTGGTGGAATGTTTGTACATTTTAGCGCCTGCCCACTAATTCGAACTCTGTTTAGTTTGAACAATTTCATAGTCCCCCACGATTTTGAATTAACAAGCTTTTACTGTAATCAGTAATCATGGTCTAGATGGCATAAATATAGTTTACTACTGGACAGATTTTCTCTATATCCCTCAAAAGATATGATGTGATGTAACACACTTCTTGTGAGGCCCCACCGATCCAACAGCGGCGTGTGGCGTGTGACCCGTGCAGTTTTGCACGTGTGGTGATGTTTGGGTCAGACTGATGGACTCATCGAGCAGACACGGACATTTGATTAAAAACAGAGAAGCATTTAATTAAAACAAGCTTAATGCAAGAGCTAACAAAAATGAACTGAAAGAGGACAACAAAAATGCGATAAAAAAAACAGCTACAAAACAAACTATGTTTTAAAAAAACACTACAACGGGTACAAACAGACAATAGGTATGTTAATAAAATAACAACATGATAGAACTAAAAGAGATACAAAGAAAAATTACAAGAAAAGTCAGACTCTCGAATCTGAGCTTGTACTTGCAACGCAGCACACACTACTACAATAATTTAAACTTGGTATAATAAAATAGCTGTCGAAAAAATAATCACAATAAAAAGTTGTATACAGACCAGTCTAGCTTGTGTTTCGTGCAAGGGAGTTGACAAGATGCCGCTGAAGGTAAACGCTTAGGTAAACGACGAGGGTGCCCGGTGTGGCAGCCGTTTCAATACGTTGCGTTGGACACTCCATGCTCGCCACCTATGTGAGACTCGTGATACCGACGACTGCGCGTCTAGCTTGTTGAACGTCAACTGCCAAAGCAGTCAAATTCTCTTTGGGGCGTACGCATCCCTCTTGAGGTCATTTTTCCCGAACACATACATGCCTCCTTCGCTGCAGGTGTAGGGAAGACGCGGCGGCGTCATTGCAGAGTCGTTAGTTTCCGTAAGTCTTCCCGATTCTAAGGCGCGCCCTCCCTTCGTCGAAGGGGCGCGTGATCGAGAATGCTCAACGTTTGTGAGATGCGACAAAAACTTTATTTAACCAAGTGTGAATTGTAACAAAAGTGCTTCCATTGTTTAACTTTAATTACAAATGCCCAAACACAGGGGACCAGATAAAGCATGCAGATATATATGTGCGTGCACTTACATACATACATGTACGCCCACACACTGTTACAGTTATACATTTTTTTTATAACTCACAGTACTCTTTGAGAAAAACAAATAAGGCAGCCTAGTACCAGAGGCTGTAATGGCAATATGCATGCATGTGTGGTGCCATCTGATTGGTGGCTGCTAGCTGTAGGCTCACTCTGAATTGAATATTTGTGAATATTTGCTTTTTATGGTACCTCTACAACAAGGGCTAGTGCCTTTTATTCTATTGATAAGGTTAGAGTTTCTGGCAAGCTTTAATTCATGAAGCATTAGATAAATAGTATTGTTCGCCGGTACTGTTTCGTAAACTTGTCAATCTTTACTGCTGATCTCATTAGAATAGAATCATTTGCTTTATTGTAAAATTGATTGTGGCAAAGCTGCAGACACTGCGCTCAATGTTATAAGCATCTTGCACTAGCATTTGTTACTTGTCATTATCAATTCTGATAACATGTTAACATGATGTTTCTTTCTTCTTTGATACAGTATGGAACTACTCCATTGGTCTGGGCATGTCGTCGAGGGTTTACAGGCATTGTTGAGATGCTGCTGGAAGCAGGGGCAAACGTTGACACCGCTGGGATGGTGAGTTTTCTTTATTCAGCTGTGTTTGTATCACTAAGTGAACGGGGGGGGGGGGGGGGGCAAGAGGGGCAGATAAAAAAACAGCACAGAAAGAGGCTGAAAAAAATCTAATTTAGAATAACAGGGAGACAAGCTTGATTGTGCGATTGTGTGTAATTGTGCATTATTCAAGAAGTATACGTGAGCTATGGTGACATGCCTTCTCTGTGAATTGATTAAGATGGAATAACTCAGGTTCTTTGTGCATAAATATGCCTAAGAGTTATTTAAACCTGCACTCAAACCTCATTGTAATGAAGTTCCATCTTACACGAGTATAACTTCGTTATATTCAAAAATTTATTATAAAGGTATACTCCTAACACTATAACTATTGGTAGACTATTATTTATTTATTTATTTATTTATAACCAATATGTTTTTATATCGAGGTTTGAGTGTATTTCTAAATGAAGTAAATGTCATTATTGATAGTATTTCAGTATTCTGTATGTTATATAGCAGGAGGATAATTATGTTACTTTTAATGACCAGTAAATATTGGTGGTCACATGAATGGCTTGATGAATGTAACTAAACCATACCAGATGAGTGACTTCTTTGTTACATACAGCTTCTATGAGCTGCAGATTTCGGTTGGAGCGGTAGCTTATTGTGCAAAAAACCTAGTGCTGGTGAGTGTACAGAAATACGGGTGTACATGAATAAGTCCTCGAAGGTGCATCAGCAGTTTTGTACATGTTCCTATATCACAGGAACGAAAGCTCGTTCCTCGTTTTTTCTCAATTTTCAAACGAGTTCCCATTATAAGTTCCTCTAATTATAAAAAAAACTCATTGCAGTTAAATTTTTTTAAAATTTGGAACGTGTCAATACATTAGCATTGCATTTTACTTTTTTAGTTAAAAATATATAGTCAGATAATCCTGAAACAAAATAAAGTAAGCAACCTAAAGCTAACACAAAGCTACATATATTATAAGAATTATCATCACCCATGGTAGATTACACGTTGGTGAAAGGATCTATATAAACACTATGAGCCATTTTTTTAGAAACCACCGGCCATACCACAAGCATGTCTAATTGTAGCTCCCGTGCTCGTGAGTTATAAGTCCCACACATGTCACACGTTCCAAGTAGTTCTTCAAAGGTGTAGTGATGATATATTCTGTGCTTCGGATAACCAAACAAAAATCTCCACCCATGCTCCAATATAATTAAATGTCTTGCACAAGAAACCACATAAAAAGGGACAGTACTTCAGCATTTAATCAGCGCAGAATCAAATCATATTCCTGTGTGAATACAAGATATAGTCCAATACAAAATACAAATTTTTTTCTCTTTTTTATACATTTTTGCTTATATCTCTCTCTCTCTGCAGTTGTTTTCTCACTTTCTACCTTTCTGTCCTTCTTTCTCACTCTCTTTCTATACTCGTTCTTTCCTTTTTTCCCTCCTCCTCACCCTCACTACCTATTCCCTACTTCTCTCTACTACACTATACGAAGCTATGTTACGCTCTGCTATTATGCGCTCTGTTGCAGAGAAACGCGTAGCGAAAATTTCCTCAACATCCCACTTCATTGGGATGGTCACTTAGCTAAGAGATAAATATGAGCAGATAGAAAGTCAGTTAGAGTGGTATTTGCATTGGTTAGGTGCTTATACATTTATACTACCATTGTAATGTATCATGGAAAATGCCATTACTTGATATACTCACGCGACAGATATGTGGCGATTTTTCAGTGCTATGTGTTCGTCATTGGGCCGCGATTCCAGCCGAATAAACAAATCAGTTCAAAGTGTATGCCTATGGTAAATTAATACCATGAAAGAAAAATGACACCATCTCCCACTAAAGGGGACCATGTGTGAAGGCAAAGCAGCGAGGAGAAGGTGAACGGCACCCACAGAAACTCGTCTACATTGCCTTGAGCAGGCGCACCAACATTCAGAACCTGTATCTGACTAATGCTGCTGGTGACCATCGCTTGATGCTGGTGACCGCTGCCATGAACGCTGCCGGTGACCGTGACTATATTACTGTTTAGCAGCCGGTCCCTCAACGCACATGCCAGAGACGTCGAACGTGATCCCATGCTAACCAAAGCTGACGCGCCATGTCTCACGGAAACGTCGGCTTCGCCTTTGGGGATCGTAAGAAATGAGAGAAGAGGAGGGGACGCACATGTGCAGTGGGGGAGCAGATGCATGAGGGAAGGATGAAGACAGCCACAAACAAAAGCTGCTTTGCATCTAAAAATGAAACTGAATAACTGAGTGGTTTTGGCACTAGCTTTTTTATCATGAATAGACGGTTTCAAATGTCGCCTTGACAAGATTTTTTTTGTCAAGAATTTTGTCCTTTCTCTTTCTCCGTATCTGTTTTGCTCTCTCTTCACTCATTCTCTCACCCATTGGAGTTATTGCATCCCACGGAGGACAAATCAGTGAATGTTCTTTGAGCGAAGCAGAACAGAGTGAACAGAGCATATGCTGGTTTGTGATGATAATTTTCTTTCTACAACAGATGGCAAACCTGAGCATAGCAGCTCTGCTGTAAAGAATTAACTTTCTCTTTCACATGTGGTCGGTCTCAGCGTCACACACTTCCTATGGCCTCTGGTAGGCATGTTGAACTGAAAATCAGGATGCAGCATAGTCACGTGCCTGACGAAGTCGGCCGTCCAGCCTATTCGCATGACATACTGCATTCAAGCATGCGCCTGTTGACTGTCGTGGAACGTTTACAGAAGGAGCGTAGTCCCCCTACCGTTCCACCGTAAACGTAATGCGTTACCGTTACAATTTCACCGATTGGAGGAACGGTGACCTCCCTCCCTTCCTCCCGAAAAGAACTTGTTCCTTGAATGTCGTTCTTTGGAACGCTGTTTCGTACAACACTGTGCATCGGTCAGAGACTATTTATATGCGCTATTTTTCACTCAGTAAGTGACGCTCTCTCGAGCGTAGACTTTACAGCAATCAACCATGTCTGATTCGTCTGACCTTTGTTGAGGCCACTTGTTGTTCTTTTTTGCATTTTATTGTTTCGTGCATAACTGTCGCCATTGCCTGTAGAAACTGAAGTTTTGTGGTGCTAAGCGCATATATTAAGGTTCAGTTCCCAGCACGGAAGAAGGAAAAATTTGGTAGGAAGCATTGGGCAATCCCATAAAAAATAATTAATAAAATAAAAGAAAGAAATAGTAGGTTGGTCAGGAAAACTCGTGTTAAGCTTCGCTTGGTTCGCTTGGCTCTATTTTCGCAATAGGAGAAGGCCTTATAATTTTCGTGTGTTGGTTGTTGCATAGTAATTCTGCTGTATTCCACAGTAAAGCATTAAATCTATATTTGTGTCAACTTGATTACAGAACAGTAGCTGAGTTTCACTTTTAACATTTTCAAGCTGCAGGAGCTGCATAAAAGCCTCTCTTTTTTTACTTTCTCTTGCATATACTCTACTGTAAAGTGCTGATATGGTGTTACTATTGTTTTGTTATTTATAAAAGCAGGTAACTTCTTCTTCATGAAAGTGTTAGCAGCATTTTTTGGAGTTCAACTCTATATATAGTAGACTCTCAGTAAATGTCAATCTGTTAAACGAAACTGCTGCTTAAATGAAACAACTGCCTCCAGCACAATTGGCTTCATATTTGGATTCTCAACCTTTGCTCGTCCCGCTGTATACAGAACTGTTAAATGGAACACATTTTCTCGGTCCCTTCAGGTTCCGTTTGATGAGAGTCTATTTTATATCTCTTGATGATTCTTCATTTATATGCATAAACCTTAAAAGCACCGTGCTCTTTGAGATTTATTATGTATTACCAAAAGGCAAGTGCAGGCAGTCATTTTTTTTTGTGCAACAATAACTGCATTACATTTATTATTTGCAGTACTCATGGACGGCTTTAATAATCGCGGCAAAAGGAAACTACTCTGACATCGTCAGCATGCTACTGGAGTACAAGCCAAATGTTAATGCTGTTGATGCTGTAAGTAGCCATATGGCTCTTTCTTTTTTGCTATTTGACTGTTTCCTGTCAATTTTGTTCTACCTCTGGTGTCACCTTGGCAGTGACTCGGCAGGCGTTTGTATACTTCCACTGATAACAAGGCTGTTCGTTTCATTGCCAGCTGGGGCTGCAAACTTCTAATGGGAGTAGAATGGGAAAAAACTGTTTAGAGCACTATGGATTGCCAGGCTGATAAATATTGTTCATTATGAAATATGAATTCATTGCCCTCTACTACCACATGTCCAAGTGTTTTCTTGGGACATAAGAGCTCATGAATCAATCTCTTGTAGGAAGAAATTTCTTAAGCCCTTGCCCATAGTCTTATTTTACTGCTTGTTTTCCTCAATGAGTCTTCACACTCATATTGACTGCCATAAGTGACATTAGCGCCCTGCACTTTTCTTCGTTGTGTTTGAACATTACACGCTAAACTGCTACTTACTCAACTTTTGTGTATTGCAAGATTTCTTTCAATCAAGCCATAGCGACAAATCGAATTAATTAAAGTCCTTTTTATTGCTTGAAATAATCTATTGTCATTGACAGAACACTTACATATAATCTTGCAATAACTATGTAGACCATTGTCTATCAGTGGCCCTCAGTCCTCAACACTGTCGTTGCTGTAGGCCAATTCTCAAGAAAGACATTGTTTAGTGCACCAAGAAAGTAGGCAGGTTGTTGCAGCCACTGTAGTTGCCTAGGGAAGCAGTAGTGCCATCTTGCATATTTCTTGTTTTCCAGGTTTTCGTGATTGCTATACATTTAAAAGCACCGGTTAGGGTCGCACTAACCATTGTGGTAGATTAGGAGATGTGGTTAAATAGTGCTGCTTCGCCGATGCACCGTGCATTACCTATCTTGAGTTACCGTGACTTTTCACGAGGCAGCAGGGGTACTTGGGGCTCATTTGCTCACTTTGCCGTGCTTGTAAGTATGTAGCCGGTAGTTGTTGCAAGCATTCAAACTTTATTTTTGTCTCTGAATTTTGCTGAAGAGCTTCGCATTGTAATACGTAACAGAGAGGTCTTCAGTAATATTGAATAGTTACTGTTTAGTTAAAACAGACTTCTGCATGTATTTACCCCTACAATGTGATTTCAGACATGTGGTTCACTTCTTATTTTATACATCGTTTTATTTATTTATATTGCTTGATACAGATTCGTTCTGAGAACTGTACGATAACTAATGCATCGTTATCAGATGAATCACGTTTGTAATGAATATCATTTTGGTATGTTCATATTCATGTACATCTGTTACTTTCTCATTAAAATATTTAAAAAAATCTTTTAACATGTACTACTATATGAAAACATCAGTTTTTTTTTCAAAAGCTGCTGTTGCATATGTTTACATATACACATATTAATAATAATATTATTAATGTGAAATATTGAGTTGAGAAATTGTCATTTTATTCTCCAAACACGTTACGAAAAGACTAAATCACTGGAAGGACAGGCTGATCTAGAAAGCAAAATTCATTGATGCTTTCTGCAACACCTTGATGTTCCTGGTTTGATCTATAGTGCTTTGCAGTAAAATTCTTAGAAGATTTCATATTAATTTGCTTCAGTTGAGTGTAATGTTGTCCTACGTGGACAGCCGAGTACAATTGAGTGCAAGTAAATGTATGGTTGAGTGGGATTGCAGTGTGTAATTATTTAATTGTACACTAGAACATTGAATAAGCATTTGCTTTCTGTATAGCATAATTTATTCCCAAGTTAATGGCCAATAAAATTGTTTTATTTCTTCTATGTTGCGGACTTTTCTTCTAAGAGCTGAAAAATAATTAAGCAATTGATGACCGCACAACAATGAAATTAAGTTGCAGCCACGAGGAGATCATATGTTAACTATGTCCGTAAACCAAATGCTGCTTACAGTTATGTGAAAACCAAATATTTTTTTTATGCTGTACACTTGCCGTTAAGAATTTTCACACTTCCAGAAAAATACATGCACGTCCCTTGCAGTCGGCGCTCTGTCAGTCTTGTCAAGATTACTGTGCTGATGAGAAATTTTTCAGTTCACGGTGTAGAGCCTTGTTCATTTATTTTTGTCAGCAAGGCTGGCAGACAGCCTCTACAAGCTATTGCAAGTATAAAAAAAAACATTTTAAAGCTAGAAACAGTGCAATAATACTCAGACGTTTACAGTACAGTGAAAGCACATTCTTGAACCTGTAAATCCCTCACATTACTTGGTGGCTGCTGTAGAAGCTTGAGAGGTTCAGCGACATGCTTGTGGCACTCGCCTGGCCATCTTTTTTCAACACATCTCCTATTCTACTACCTTGGCACAAAGGTTACGTGCTCTCACATTCAAACTAAGTAAGTTTTCTTTTCATAGCGATGTATGGTGTGTTGTTGGGACTCTCTAGAGCAGGGTCGGCTACCCGCGGTCCAAATACAGTAATAGTATGTAGCCCCTGGCATGAGCCCCCTCCCTTCCCTTGTCGTTTCTTATCTGAAGGCCGACATGGCAGTTTTGACTTCAAATGAGGCGTTATCTTGTAAATAATGCTTGTAAATTGTAACATTGAGCCATGTGTGGGGAAACTAAACAATATTTCTATATTTCTATTTTAGTTTTTTAAAGTTTTGTCGATTCGCTGAAGTTTTTCCTTTGCCCCTCTCTTTGCTGTGCAGCCCCCGCTGTGTCGGGTTCGTGCAACTCGGCCCTCTTCCTCAGAAGGTTGCTGACCCTTTCTCTAGAGCATTCAGAGCGAGCAATTGGTTTACCCATAATTGAATGAACAATCTTTTGCTGTATACGTATATAGCTCAAGGTTGCATGACAAGTTTACCTTTATATAAAGAAGTGCATGCTATATAGTACGACATGCCATGCAGCCTCTAAAGATGTATGTACTTCAGGCAGTAATGGGTACACAGAAAAACCTGATTCCTTCGAGAGCTTGAAAGGGTTTAATAGGTAAAACTGAGAAGTTTTCTTGATTTTATTTTTTATAACTGACCAGAGCAACAACCAAGAAATTGGGCTAAATTTTTGTATAAATTTGCTCATTTCTTTCAGGACGGTTACACAGCGTTGGCCATTGCCTGCAAGGAAGGGTTCACGGATATTGCTGTCTCATTGTTGAATGCTGGTGCTTATGTCAACATGCACGATCGCAGTGGAGACACTAATCTGATCCATGCGGCGAAAGCTGGAAATTTTTCTATTGTGGATGTCCTGCTAAAAAAGTATGCCGATATCGATGTACAGGGCATGGTAAGCACTTCTTTCTTTATGTGCACACGCATACAAAATTTAAGCACCCTGTATTCTAGAGAGAAATGAAAATACAGTTGCTAAGCATTTGGAGTTTTCTACCAGTCGCACAAATAGGTTACCAATATCATGATGGATACCTCTTAAATGGAATATTTTAATTCATATTGATATTTTTCTCCAAGACATTTTGGTCACATGTCAGTTTCTTTTTGTATGATTGCTACTTGCTGTTTATGTGTACTTATACTTTCTGCCGTTATCATATGTCTTCCACATGTTCTTTTTTAGGACAGAAAAACTGCTCTTTATTGGGCTGTGGAGAAAGGGTACACAGACATTGTACGCGTGATTCTGCACGCCAATCCAAATCTTGAACTAGCAACAAAAGTAAGACTTTTTTTTGTTTGCCTAGTTTATTACTAGATGTTCTACTATGAATCTTTAGTCCTCAGTTGCCCCCCCCCCTTTCACTTTTTTTTTTCTCTCTAGGATGGGGACACTCCATTGATGAAAGCAACAAGGATTCGTAACACAGATATAGTACAGATGTTGATTGATAAGAAAGCGAAAGTGTCTGCCACAGACAAGGTGAGAATGTTCTCCTCAAGGCAGTGATTTAGTGTTTCAAGGGTTGCTGTTTTTTTATTTTTTTTGGAAGTAGAGTAAGACTTGCGTAGTATACACATTCCGCCATGACTGTGTCTGTAAAGTGTAGAAATAATGCATGCCGCATAAATAACTGAAAATTTATATGAATTTTACGTGCCCTTCTTCATGGGCTGCTATTTCCCGCCAGCAGAGCTGTCATAGTTGTCTCCTCTGAATCACACATTTACTACTTGCAAGGCAGAAATAGTGAGCACCTGTGTTAACAACTTAGTGATTCCAATGAACTGCAGGAGTGAACGATGTTGGGCAGTTGGTGTTGCATAGTGAAAGGTAAAAACGGCATTTATACAACAAGGATCGTGAAAGAACAGCAGACTATTTGTCATTGCTTTCCTGTCCTCCTTGTATAAATGCCGTTTTTTCCTTGTTGTGATTCCATTGAAATGCAGAGTGTATGAAGTCACCTCCACGAATTCACTATGTTGCAAACAACAATGAAAAGAAGCACCAGGCAGCCACATTTTGAGAGTATTAAAATGCAAAAACACCAATGTACTTAGATTTGGATTCACAATAAAGAACCCCGGATGATCAAAATTAACCCAGACTGTTTCACTTTGGTCTGTTTTATCATAATCATACTGTGGTTTTAGAGTTTAAAGCTTTAGAATTTATTTCAGAATGGAGAGAAAAAAGAAACAGTTGATAATGGACATGATGTGACCATTATAAATTTCATGTGGACCATCAGCTGCCTGTGGATGCTAGTAGAGGAAGAAAGAAGACGTCTGCTGCAAGGAGATTAGCAGTCCTCATATCATTGCATTAATTTACTTCTGTCTCTACTATTGCTCACTTGTTTTGAAGAAAATATCCTTGTTGTAGAATACACCCTGCAACGTACTTCACAATTTCCAATGTATTGCCAAATTTCTAATTATGCCTAATGAAAAGTTCTTTAAAGAGTGACATGTGAATTAATCTTATGGTATGCTTAATTCAGAGAAATGAAGAGTAAAATAGCTTAGATCAGGGGGAGGGGGGTCAGAGGAGTCCTGACCCCCTCTTGCATTCAGGGGGTAACACCCCTTGCAAGCGTCTCCCTTCCCATTGAGATTTGGCTTCCGAACACTGTATTTGAATTGCTTGGCAGTTAAATATAATGCGCTCATCGTAAAACCAACTCTAAAATCTAAAGCTGTTTCACAGAGCAGAAATGAAGTACAAAAGTCAAAGCTGCTTTCTGTTTCAAAAAGTATGAGCTTTCTGAAATGTTACAGGTAACGAACGATATGCTGCAAATATTTATAATGCCTTGACTTAAATAAGAAATGAAATAAATAATGCCCGATCATCTGACATAATTTATGTAAATGGTTTGGTGAAACCCATTGCAGATAAAGTGCGATTGTGATAGCTGTGGTTGTTTTAATTTAAAAATAATCACTAGGGACACCCTGACCTGGCACTGAGGCCCGTGTACATTCTTTAAATTTTATTTCAAATCATGATTTTAATTTTATATATATATAAAAAAACGTATTGGGAAAAACAGAATAGCCACTGTGAAAAGATGTGTGTCCCACTATGTGATTTTCCTGAATTTATACCACTGGAAGAGATTAGGCTCTATAGACTTGCCTGAGCTTAGTGTGTCATTATCTTGCATGTTAGAGCACCACTAAGCTGGCTGCAGGCAACTTGAACTTTCCATATTGTTGTATGTTACAGCTGTGTTAAAATTGTGCTGTAGTGTGCACTTTATTCCTTTATTTTTTTGTTATCCTTGTGGGTGTACTGAAAATTACTTATTATCTATTGCTGCTCATTTGCTTTATTCTCTCGGCTTGTAGGTATTGAAAGTGCTTGTCTTGATACATACTCTACACTTGATTGTCATGTGACCATATATATGCATGAATATTTTTTGTGATGGTGTGGCACTGAAAAGTACGATACTTGAGGAGTGATGCAATTGGTTTCATTAAACAGTAGCATTGTTGGTCGCAATCACCAGTAGTATATTTATTTGTTAAAAACAGAATGTAACATTGTTTTGGAGCATGTCTCATTTCAGAACTGATATTGCAGCATTGTTTTTCTTTAGTGCTTTTTCATTTCTTACATATTTCTTAATTAATTAAAGTAATACTACATATGTGTATGCTAGCAATAACAAAAAGTATTGTACCTTTACTGTGAGCGTCACTTGTTTGACCTCAATAAACAGTGCAAGGCTTGCTCTTTTTTTATTATCAGTGTACTGTGTTGACATGATTATTTTTTGTTCAACAGAGAGGAGACACAGCACTTCATATAGCAATGAGAGCTCGTAGCAAGGGTATTGTGGAGATACTCTTGCGCAATCCAAAGAACAGTCAGCTCTTGTACAGGCCAAACCGGAGCAATGAGACACCCTACAACATTGACACAAGCCATCAAAAAAGCATTCTTGCCCAAATTTTTGGTGCTCGTAAGTGTTTGAACTTATTTTCAATACGTTGTGTTTCCCAGTGGGGAAGTCACAGCAGAGTAGGCCAGAGATGACCGCATTGATGCACGGGGCATAAATTTCTGTAGTCAGTACTTGTTTAACGGCCATTTTATTTTCCTAATATGCAAGCCCAACTAGCTCAAATAATCATTTTACTCTTATCATGTTATGACACCTGTCAGGATACTTGTAGTTTTAGCTTACAGTACTCCGTATTTTTTTTAGTGACTAATTGATTAGCTAGTTTTCTGCATAAGTGTTTCTATGTTGTTTTAGTTTGAAGTTAGTGATAGTGCACCGAGCTTTAAAGTACTATATATTTTGTTCACTTGCCCACTCATAGCCAACCTGCTCGTAGCATTTACAAAGCTTTAGTTACATCTGGACTTCTCCTACCCACCTTGAAATAGGCCTGAAGGATGACATTTGTATAAAAGATGTATTTGTTGATGGAGTGCTAGTTGTAATTTTCCAAATAGAAGAAGCTTTCCTTTACTGCTATGAATTCTACAGTTTTTATGCACGCAAAATGTACGGCCTTTTTCTAGCTAAGATATTTCTTTACGCTTTTATTTCATGCCACCCACAGCATCTGACTTCTTCTTGCAGGTCGTTTGAACACCAATGAGGACAACGAAAATATGCTGGGTTACGACTTGTACAGTAGCGCATTGGCAGACATCTTGAGTGAACCATCTTTGTCCATGCCCATTTCAGTGGGCCTCTATGCCAGATGGGGAAGCGGCAAATCTTTTCTTCTTGGCAAGCTTGAAGGTAAGTCGTGGGAAAAAAAAAAAAATATATCGAATGTGAGTGCTCAAGTCGCGGTTTCCATGGTGTTTTCTCAAGTTGTTTAGTTGTACTTGCGTTGTTTTTCGCTTGAAATGTGAAGGAAAGGTGCTTATACAATTTGGTTTGGAAATGCCTTCCTAGCTCAAGCTGAGTTAAGTGCAGGCGGAAAGCCATTGTTAATTTTCTAAAGGAATTTGCATTGTTTGGAAACTAATATCTTACCTGTTGCTTCTTGTGGCAATCTCAGTAACTTTTATTTATGCACAGTATTTACATTTTTGAAGTTATGAAAAACAAAATCTGATAAAATATGTTTCCATAATTCTTGTTCATGTCAACCAAAACACATTTTTCTGCAAGGCTCATGATTAAGCTACTGCATGACAAAGAAATATGTGCTTGAGTATGTATCATATTCCAAAGTGATGTAGTATAGTGGCTCTACCGGACTGGGTTATCTTCACAGCACACTGCTAGAACGCTTTAGACGATGATACAGCATCTGCCCCGCCGCGGTGGTCTAGTGGCTAAGGTGACCTGCGGCTGCTGACCCGCAGGTCACAGGATCGAATACTGGCTGCGGCGGCTGCATTTTCGATGGAGGCGAAAATGCTGTAGGCCCGTGTGCTCAGATTTGGGTGCACGTTAAAGAACCCCAAGTGGTTGAAATTTCTGGAGCCATCCACTACGCCGTCTCTCATAATCATATGGTGGTTTTGGGATGTTAAACCCAACAAATCAATCATTGATACAGGATCAGTCAGAGCATTCTGTCCAGGTTCATAAAAATGTCTAAATTTTCTTCCCCCTTAACTTCATAAATCCTGCTGCAGTGAGCGAATAGCATTTCACTGTGATGGCCACAGATTATGTGTGGACATTAAGCATCTGCTCTATTACCTTTTACCAATGACCTTCAATAAGGGAACAAACTGAATCCTCCATTCTTGACTGGCCGTTCAATAAAAGTATTAGGTCGGATGACCAGAGTCAGTACCTTACTGCTTTGTAGTTGACATGGCCCTGTGCATGTTCATATGTGTGATTGTACACAAAGGTGTGGTGGTTGTCGTAAGAGCTGAAAGCTTTCCTCAACCTTGGGACAGCATAGGGCCTCTGTTCAGCATAATAACTATAACCTATGTCACCAGTATAAATCTAGTTTGATGAAAAAAATTGTCTATAAGGTATAGCAAGATTACAGGCCACCTTAATAAAATACAATATATGCAAACCATAATCATGGTGAATTAAAAAATGTCACACTAATTACAGTCAATAAATGCTTTGATTCATGCTGCTAGCATTGCTAAATAGAATTCATAAAAAACAGCTTTCTAACATTACTGAAATTTCAATCAATCAGTTTATCAACCAATCAGTTTATTATCATATCATAAAAGGATGTTACAGGGAGTAAAATATACAGACGAGGGTCCCAAAGTACACGACTGCGACGGGACCCTCATACTGCATATTAATTTCATCATAACTACGAAGACTGTTTATCACAATATACTTACTATGCACTTGCCTTCATAACATTATCATCAATTTGTTTTCGTTTTCGTTCTTTCTCAAAGGAAACATTTAAAAATTTTTTTTTTTGTTGTCTATATAAGCATGCTTGTTTTTTGGATGGGGATGGGTCGTGTGCAATATATTATGTGTGTATTTTTGTTTGTAGTCACCGCTTATGCTTACATACGTGTAGGGTGGCCTGGACACCCTCCACGTCTTCCGCAACATTATCATTGTAAATAAATTAATAGGTGAAAATAAATGAAAAGTACTCCATAAAACAACAGACAGGATGAATGCTGGATTAATGGAGAATGGCTGAATTATCTGAAAAGAGGCCAGCTAGAGAGCTTCATTTCTTCGTCAAAGACAGCTATGTACAATTACAGTCATTATCAGCACTCTACAATCTTTCTTGCAGTACAAGATTGATAATGAGGCACGGGTGCAATAGGGTACCAGTTCACCAAGAAAGAAGCTTTCTTTATTTGAAGGAAGGACCTCAGATGATTATTGAAAATGTACGGGAAAAGACCTTGGCTGAGAAAACAATTTCCAGTATGTTACTAGGATGTCACATGGTATTAAATGTCGTAAATATTGGGATAAAAGAAAAGATGAGGCATAGGACAATGTTGATGATCAAGCATTTGTATTAACAATGTAATTCTACATGATTGCATCCACATACATATCACAGACCTACAGCGACATGAGAAGGTTAATCTGAAGAAGAACAAAGAAAACGTCAAGTTATAACAAAAAATTCAAAGTGCAGATAGTTTTCTGACCATTTGACAAGCTTTTTTTCATGTTGAGTAGTTCACCTGAGACAGGACACGGATGGTTAATTACTGGGTGTCTCCCAGTAGCCTTCACTGGAAGTTTTTATGTTAAAAATGAGTTTGTTACCACTATTTAATGGAAAGAAATTTTTGAATATATGATTTTATTTATGTTGTTCTTTGTCCACCTGAAATGGAACACGTGTATCAGAGCACGTTAACACGGTGGTGTTCTGACTGTCTTTGGCAGAGGACATGCGAAGCTTTGCAGTGCAATGGCTGGAACCAACATTTTCCTTCACCTGGATCCTGTTTTGCCTGGTATCGTTCTGTTCAAGCATGCTAGGCTACTGCGTCCTTCTGGCAACAGGACAATGGCTGCTGGGGCTCAGCTTGGGAACTGGAGCCTTCCTGTTTACCTACTGCATTCTTTGTGAGCCCACCATGCACCTAACAGCAATGTGGCTTAATTAGGTTGCCTGAACTTTGCCTTGGTCTTATGATAAAAAAAAAGTATAATTGCATATTATGACAAAAATCCTTGAGAAGCATCAGTGGCATATACTGAAAGAAGAGGAAAAGCTTCCAAGAGTATGATTTCAGAGGATTTCAATTCAACTGCTGATATAATTTATTGGTATATATTCTGGTGTGGTTCGCTGTGCTAGGGCTCGATGAGCACTTGACTTTCTAACATGTTACACGCACTAGGGTGTCACATATTGTGTAACTTGGTACCGTTTATGTGTCTTCAGCCTGATATCAAAAGGCTGTAGTACCTTAAATTTTGATGGTATATAAATAAATGACTCTCAAGTTTCAAGTGAAAAAAAAAATAATTTAGTGCAATCTATTTACAGATTTCATAAGGTATGGCAACAGTCATCATGATTGGAATTGGGCTTATAAATTCTGCATCAAAATGGAGCACATGCTCAGTTCTTTCAAGACTGTTCTTCAAGTTATCTTTTGCCACCCTCCAGCAACAAACAAGGACTTTGGTTCAAGTCCTGTGAGGTAACTCTGTGCTGATAAAGAGTATTCTTTTTTTTTTGTTCATTTTCAGACTAAGAATTCAGAGATACTAGTATCCTTGTACTGTGTATTGAAATATTTGTATAATATATTAAAGACATAAATGTTTGAACTGTCGGAGCATTACATCCTGCATTAGGATATGTTACTGGATTCGTTCGTGCTTGTTAAATTTAATGTCTTGTAAGGTGCAAAACATGTGCACAAATACAATGCAGTACAACATGCTTGTTTACTGTTTTCTATATGTTGTGTACCTTTGTGCCTTTCATGATTTCATTTAGCTACACATCATTATATTGTGCACGGAATTGCGAGCCATGTTACTCACATTCCTCATTGTAGCATGCATAAGCACAAATTTAATGCAGTAAGAAACTTATTTATAGTGAGATTTCTATTCTAGAATAGAAAGCTTATTTTCTACTATATTTGTTTTCTATGTAATGTTTCAACTTGGCTTAATACTAACTTGGCGTTGCAGCCAGTGTCTGAAATAATACTGATTGGAATATGGAGAGACCGTTTAGCGACCACATTTTCCTTTGCATCATGGAAGTTTGCACTAAAGTGATGGCCAGTAAGGAAAGTCACATCTTTACTGCTTTTCTCTTGTTTTTTTTTATGCTAGGAAATAGCTTTTTGTACATCTAGACTTAGCAAGGATTATTCTTGTACGTGAGCTGCCCCTGTTGTGTATATATGAAGGGAATGGTGGCACATGCCTTGAAGCATATCACTTAGTGCACTACAGTTAAACCTGGATATAACGAAATTGCTAAATTTCCGGGAAAATTCGTTATAAAAAAGATTTCGTTATATGCAGGTTCGGCCCGAAAATTCGAGAAGTAAACGTGCTAATAAACAAAAGGGGGACTGAAGGCAGAGCTAACCAAAAACACTTATTTTACAGTAAAGAACTGCGTTATTATTGCGATAGCGATTGTATGGACACTCTCGGCGGGTTTTTGCCGTCGCCGCCATGTTCCGTAACATGCCCTCACGCATCGCAACTTTCACGAGCGGGTAAAAGCGCGCGAGCGTTGCTGAAGCAGAGATCAAAAGAGTCAGCACATCCCATATCGCCTGAAAACTGCAGAAGATAACATCTCGCGCGTGTTAGAACTGCCGTCGAATGCTCAAACAGAAAGTAAACCATCTGTCTTGAACAAGCACTTTTCCCTGGAGTGGTCGTATTTGTTCACACCAGCGTTTTGTATGAGTTCCGCGATATCGGATTCAAAAGAGTTGGCTGCCAGCCTTACTTCTTATAACATTACTATGTTTTGCTATCACATTCATAGCATTGCATTCAAGGTGCCGTCATGTTACCAGAACTAATCGGCTAATCTCGAAAGCTACCAAACTGCGAAATCGCGGCGCGGCGCAAGACGGAAGCACGTTACAAGCCGACCTCCGAAGATCTGTCGTCACCGTGGTCACGAAGAGTTTCCATCAGCGCCTAATCAGACCTCCCCGCAGTGGTGAGGACACGGTTGTCCGAAATTAAGAAAAGCCAGTTTCACCGCAAACGCGAAGGAATGAATGCGATAGCAACAACTTGGAATGTAACGCTGAGAACAGCAAGCAGATCGAAACGTGCGGCTCACGCACGAATGACGCACGAAAACAACATACACAGGACGAAAACGAACTACAAAACTAACAACGTTTATCGCTCTACACTTAATGCACTATTAAACGAAAATGAGGCACGAAACTTAATCACAGGTGCAGATATGAATGCGAATTAAGTGCCCCAGTTAATTTTGTTACTGTGCTGTGTTTGAAAAGTGCACTCTTTTCGCAAACAGCGCCTGCCCAGCGAGCGAAGGGATCTTTGTGCGCCCAGCAAGTAAACGCAATCGTTCTGGTCAAAGTCGAAGGCGCGCGATTTTCCCCACCAAAGGATAAGCGCGCCCGCTCACGAGTATCTAAACTCGTGGGGTACGCGTTGAAGATAAGCACGCTTCAGCGCATCGTGACGAGCTGCAGGGCGCCAAGCGCGGGCGTTTTTTTTTTCTTTCACGAGTTTTCATATATATATATATATATATATATAGAGAGAGAGAGAGAGAGAGAGAGAGGTTGTCTCCTGCTGTTACTTTGTTACATAGAGGTCGCAAATACATCTGCTTCTATGGAGCGACGGCGGGGAATTGAAAAACTCCGTTATATGGAGGTTCGTTATAAGCAGGTTTAACTGTAATAGCTTGAAAACTGTTGGCTGGCATCTCCTGACGTTGATTTAGTCTCTGTATTTACAGTATGTACCAAGTTTTCAATTTCTCCAAATATATGCAGTTATGCTAAAAAGCAGAGTACCATAGTAATAAATGGTTTATGCTGAATAGCCTATCATGGTTACAAGATTGAAACGAGGTGGGCTGCTTCTGTTGCTATTTTATTTTACTAGTATATATTGCCACATTCCTTCCTCAAGTTTTGTTATTGCCCAGTTACAATGTAATTCTCAGCGCGAACTGCGTCTGCAGTGTTTGAGAAGAGAAGCTACAGGGCTGTAGTTTGTTAAGATTACGTGCACAACATGAACATTGCAGATTATTCTGGAAGTTACGGGGCCGCTTGTGATAGCACTGGAATATTCAGCGGCGCATGTATAAATGCCGACGTGCTCCACCACTTGCCAGTTGGTCGACGGCCGACGTTCTGTTCGCCGATGTCAGTGCCAGTGTGTATCGCTGTAATCTGATCTTCCGTTCGATAGCCACAAGTTCAGCCTAATAAACAGTTTTAATCTTGGGCCTACGGCCTGCTCCCTTCATCCCCATCACGACTCTGTGACAATATACGGTTTCAATGACTTCATGGATGGCATAACATGCCACAAGTTTCGTCTGCTTTAAAAGCATCCAAAACTATTTGTTCCAAAAGAACTGTGAATAGTAAAGGAGCAGATGCAAGATTTGAAACAAGCAACTGCTATACTGTGAATTTGCAAGTTAATGACTTGAAAAGTAATGGATTTAATGCATTGACTGGGCTACGTGTCCTCTCAGTTATTTTGATGGTAGAGCAAAAGCTCAGTCATGTGCATTCACAGCAAGGTAAATTTATGGTAAAAAAACAGGTGTGCACACATGGACACAAGAGAATGATAAAGACACCACATATACCAACTAACAACTGCGAATGCGCACAGCTGTTGAAAGGAAGAAGGCACGAGAACTTATCTGTGCATACCCATGCAATAGACAAACCTATCGACCCAGCACGCACTGTGGTCTACGTGAGAGATAATTATTTAGACACCTGGTGCCTTCCTTACGCAGGTTAATCGACAGTTGGCTCACACGTGCGCTACCATGTTTGCATGGCTTGTCTCTTTAACATGAATACCCACCATCTAGCTTAGCGCTCTGTCATGCTAAAAATTATTACTTCATATTCATGTCTGCTCCCTCAGATCTTATTTCGCATTGACTTTAGCATGTTGCCTCACTTTCATGGGCTCAGCAGGCCCACTTTTTATTCTTCTATTAGTTACATGATAGCTCGACAGGCGGTATGCAGTCTCCAACAACAAAAGTTTGGCTATACACATTTATTTTAGGAATCATTGTAATTTTTTTGCTTTATTCTGTCTCTTGCTTTTTTATGATATGATGAAAATGTTGATGGTGAGAGAGGAATGGGCCTGTTCATTTTTTCATGATAAACTGATACCCCATTTAAAAATGTTGCTTGTCTGAATGATGAGCAAACAATTATATACGAGCAATAAAGCAAACTGTATATTCAATAAATGTTATTAAAGTACTAGTTCAAAAAATGTCTAAGTACCTGTTACATACATGTACTCTTCTTTTTTCAGATTCATATTTACAGAGCAAAACAAAGTGAGCAGCTCTGGTGTTGGGGATGCTTCAATTGCATATATTATCATTTCATTGTTTTGTGCCATTGAAGACGAGTTTGGCTTCTTTACAACGAGATTCTACAGGGTTTTTCAACCCAAACCAGGTTTGTGAAAAAAAAAATGTAGAGAAGCATATACTCTCTCCTGGTGCTGGCACTTAGCTTAAGTTTTGCCGATTTTTGTTTGACATGTTTTTCCTGAAGTTTTATGTTATCACGTCTACTAAGATATACCTCATTTAATTTATAATATTTGCAACTATAGTGCTTTTATCGTGAACAGGACTTTTCTGCACTGAAAAAGTGTTTGCATTCTGGTGTCACGTATGAATACTAAATTTATGGCATGTCTTTATACTTGAATGGTGCTACCTGTTATGCACCATGTTGAATTCTGATAATTTTGGGTGTAGGTAAAGGTACATATAAATGTCCTCTGAAATTTATAGGAGGTATGTTAAATGTACCCACTAGTTTCTCAATCGAGTATGATAGTAAAAATGTTTTTATCTTGTTTTTAATGTTTTATGTATTTGAAGGTTGAAGGTTCTTGAATCTCACCGATGGAAAGGGAGATTTTTGGTCCACCTTAATTCCTTTCAATTTAGGCCAAAATCATTACACTACGAAAAAAGAAACAACAAAAAATGTCCCCCACGCTTTCCTTGGCTTAAGTGTTTGTTGGCATCATAGTTTTTTTATGATTCATAATATGGCTAGTGACTCGCTTATCACAACTCCAAACCTAATTTACTTAAGCGTGCATTGCTCAATTATTTGGACATGTTTTATAGCACAAAGTCACCGTTTCAGTTTGTGAATATACAGGTTTGCGAGAAGCTTACTTAATGAGTGTGACCATGAAGGACACGACATTCTTATCCGTCATAGCGCACAAAGACTCTGCAGCCGACTCTCTGACATAGTGCAGAAAAGGCACTTGATACAGGTTGTCAACGAATACAGGTTATTAACCCAAGATGCAGCACAGTGCGACAGGCATGAGATAATGGATCATTACTGTAATTCCGCAAGACCTGTCAAGTACACTTGCCTGCAGCGCTACGACTACCACACAAAGGGGAACCACCAAAGCAGGCTAACAAGTTACCTGCAATTGCAGCGCATGCCTTCCTCGATGCAGGCTTGGAGCATATCACTTACAGCAACCAAACACTACACAGCAGAAAGCTCAAAAAGGAGAGAAGCCTGTCATTGGCAGCCCATGAGGAGGGGTGTGCACAGTGGCATTCTCTAGCATGCCATGCACTGGAGCCGCACTGGGCCAGCACACGTGTTATCTGAGGAGCAAGGCACTAAAGGGGAGGGGGCTTTCGATTCCCACTAGTTTCAGAGAGCAGGTTGGCACTAGTGAGGTTATTGTAAATACAGCTAGCCACCGTACAAAACAATGATATGCACAAAGTAGCTTGTGTGCATATGAATGAGCACCACTTTAACAATTGCAACAGAGGGAACACACAAGGAGCGTAGCAGCGGCCACAAACTTGTGGCTTAGGGGATTGTAGGTGGTTTACACTTAATTCAAGTTTATGTCCAAGTTTATGTTGATGTCATGAAGTGCTTTGTCTTGCACTTATTTGTGCGGTATTCATTTTAAGATTAATTTTTATATGTTCTAAGCCATATTTATGTTTAATATTTTATTAAATGAGACAACATATCTCATTTAAGGCAGCCATTGTTGCATTGTGTAAGGGCTAAGCTACACCTCACTTACCTTGGTTGCTTAGGAGCTATGGTGCTGTGCTGCTGAGCACGAGGGTACGAATTCCTGGACACTGCGGTTGCATTTCGATTCTGGCTAATTGTGGAAACACTCATGTACTTTCATTTAGGTGCATGTTAAAGCACCTCTTGTGTACAGCATTTTCCTGGGCCAGGAGTTCTGCGCTATGACATGCCTCATAATAATATTGCACTTTTGGAACGTGAAAAACACCAGAATTTATTTTTGTTGTTTAACGCACTTCTCTGTATAGCAGCTTAGAATACTTGAATATTTGAATGAGTCAATAAATAAACAATTTAACTATGTAATGTAATACAATTCATTGTGCAGCTAACTCTACAGTTTCACTCACATCAGTGTGCATCCTTTGTAGGGAGAGGCACATCTTCTGGTTTGGCTAACTTCAAACAGATCGATACATCGCACAAACAGAACCATGCATATTTAATTTGGCTCTGTAGAGGAATTTTCGTGCACATATCTGACATATCATTTTGTGAAAAAGGGAGGTGTACGAAATGTATTTCTTTGTAAAAATAAGTGTGGATGTCTGATGTAGGTACTTTCAATTAATTAATCATACATGGTAATAATGTGCTGTTAAAGGGCCCCTGCAACACCTTTCCAAGTAATCATTGAACGAACACACCCTAGAAGTTTATGCGCTAACAAATGTCTTGTTGCAAAAATTTTTTGTATCTGTCAAATGTAAGTGGAGTATAATGATTTATCACGCACTTTGAATGCTTTTTCCTTCCCTGCATTCTGTCAAAAGCACTATAAGTTGTACACGAGGGCATGACAAGTGGGCAAGAAGTTGCATCAACGCACGTGATGACCTGGAGCATTTTTTTTTTTTGACCTTATTGGTTACTACTTTTGATTCAGATTAGCATGGACCTGGCATGTGGTAATACCCTGAGGCAACTGCGGTACCTACTATGACACAATATACACGACACAACAAAATAAATGACGTCAAACTGTTCTGCTAAAGTCTGGCCAAGCTCCATGAGCACCTGGTGTGCACCAGCTTTGTCGTGTGTCAACATGACCAATGGATGGTAGTCAAATTCCGATAGTGTATTTCGAAAGGGTTTCCATCAGCTAAACACCAAATGATGTTCGCCACGACATATAGCTCGCAGGATGCATAAATAGAGCTAGCGTACACTGGAAAGTATACTGGTTGTTATGAAAATAACGGGATGCAATGGTAAAGGCTGTCATAGTGGCCACAGCACAAGGCAAGTCACCAAATCAGGCGAATAGTGTTTGAAACTACACGAGTGTGGTGTGCCGGGTGCTGCTTCATGTATGCATGGGAGAAAACAAAGCATTGAGCCGATGACTGTCAATTGAAACTAGAAGTACTAATATGAGTTACATCTTCGGTATTTTTGAGGAGAGTGACAAGAATCATGCATATTATTTTATTTATTAAATTCAAAACAGACTTTACAAGTATTATGTTGTCTCAATCATAATATTAGCCAATGACCATGTCTATCTCATCTGCTGCATAGTTTGCTGAAGGGAGAGCGAGCATTTTTTTTATTGTCTTGGAAATGAAATAGTATATTGCTTGCTTTATTTAGTGCGATTACATTTGGTACAGGCGTTCACAGGAACATTGAGTGCAGTTTGGCAGTGTTTTCTGGCTATGTTCAAGAAGTGTTGCAGGGCCCCTTTAAGAAGTCTTACATTATGGACAGATAAATGTGATTATCATTAGAAACTGTGACTAATTGGGGTTTTGCCTCTGGTCTGGTATATAAATAATGATAAAACAACTTTTCATTTTGCTGAAATTGGAGCTCAAGTAAAACACCTCATATTGTACTATTTGGCAGCACGTTTAGCCAGAATGATGTAGAAAACTATTAAACCATGCTGAAGACAGCCAGTCTCAGGATACATTGTTATATTTAAAAGTACTGAGATTTCAAACAGCTTCATTTCATATTTTGTTGTATTTATTCTAGTTGCCAGCTGCACCTGAAAAAGTCCTGTCATGCAGGCCTGGTTTATTGGTATTCATATATAAGCCTTTAGTGTAGTCAACAGCATTAACAGTGTGCATTTCTTCCTAAATGGCTGGGAAATGGCCAGTGGCCTCTTCCAGCTGGACGTGGCGACGGCTGTGTTGTATACCAAACTTCGTCATCTTCCTGGGGACCCTTGTGTGCCTCCTGGGTGCTGTTGGTATGCTGGTGGAGATGCTGTCCGAGGATGAGCAAGATGGTGGCAGCCACACACAGCCAATTCTTATTTCACTGGCCAGTGTGGTAGCTGTTGTTATGCTGACCAACCTTTACACCTGGGTGCGCATCTTACTATCACTCTTTCGCTCCCATCATCGCCGTATCCACAGCTACTTGGCCCACGTGGATGCCACTTCGGGTGGCTACATGGAAGCACTTAAGGGAGAAATCGAGCTTATGAGTTCCATGGTGTGTATCTTTTTGGTTCTCTTTCATTTGCATTTTTCGCCACCCTCTTGTTATTACTGTTCGTGCTGTTGTCAGTTTTTTGGACAGGAACACCTTTCTTTTTTGCTCGTGTGTATGTGTATCTCTGTATGTAAGAATTCGGCATCACAGGCCAAATGTAGCATATTGCGCATCATATTTTATCCATACCTGTTGAGGAAACAAAAGTTGGAAGGCAGTGGTGGATGGAAAGGCTGCACTTTAGTGCCAAGCCGTGCTATTTTGAAGGATTTGCGAAGTCCGGCTCGATTGGGACTTTGTACAGAAATGGTACATATGTTGTGCTGAAGGACTATTTTAAAGCTGGGAACAAGCGACACAAAGATTGTTGTAGCAATTCCTGCTGCTTTATTCTAAACTGCTACTTGTCTGTTATTCATTTCCCTACTCCTTCAGTTGATGATGCGAGTAGAGCACTACTTCTACCACTGAGAAAGCACAATGAGCAAGGTCATTAGAATGAAATTGTTGCATTATGTCAGTCCAGGTAGCCTCATTAGAAAGGTGTCATGAATAGTCTTTAGGAGCAACATGTCTCATAACCTAACCTCAACACATCTCTGCATTGATGTGCCAGTGATGTGCAGTAACAGGTTAATTTGTATGAATACATTTAAAAATAAAATGGCTGCTATTGCAGCCATTCTGTTGTTTTCTACGTGTCACTTTTCAATTTCAGTGCTAATAGAATTTCAAGTTTATTAGTGCAAGCAGATAGATACTTACTACTGTACTTCTATACTGTTCTATTTTGCACATTCTATCTTCCTTCAAACCTTCATCTTCTTTGAAGATGGTGGCTCACAGGATCTATAACGCTTTTGTACTCGAGTAAAAACTCTCTTTGTTACCACTCTGATTCCTTCTTTTTAATGCCTGCTTGCCTAACATTAACTAGAGCTTATCATGCTTCAAATATTAGACCATTCCATCTGCACACTAATACCTTCAAATGCAATTTTTTCCCCTGCATGATTAAACATTGGAATTGGTTACCTGCTTAAGTTAGTTTGCTACCCATTTCTCACTTTTTAATTGCTATTGCTGATGTATAGTTTTTTTACATGTTCCTGCCTTGTTCCTACTTACATGTATGCCTACACCCACCATAAACCTAATGGGCGACTGTGTGTGTGTGTGTGTGTGTGTGTGAGCACATGTGCATGTGTGTGAGAGAGAGAGAGAGTGAATAATTGATGAATATAATTTGTGCCATAATTCTTCTTCTATTTCTAATAATTGAAGACTTTTTACCCAGAAAAACAAACCTTTGTTAATTAGACTTTTTAAAATTTAATTCATGACCAGTGTTCTCAAGCTGTGAATTTGATATGTGAGAGTGAACTTGCTTAATTAGCTGAAAAATTCGTCTTTTCTGAATTATTCTAATATGCCAGGGCTAAGTCTTAAGATACATTGACTGGGTCGAACACACATAATATCCCATCTGAAATGCTTATTTTTGGACTGCCCCAGGGAGGTCTTGGAGCAAGAAAAGTAGCCCATGGTGATTTTTTATGGCATTTACCTGCTGCTAATGTATGCCTTTTTTGCTAGGAAATTACTTAAAAATTGCTTACGATAACAAGTAGTTCAGCCAGCATCATCCCCGCTGCCAAGTATAACACAGTGATGTTCCGTACTACGCCAAAGAATTCCCATTCAGAGACATAAAAATTCCTTATTTTGGGGATTATTGCCTGCAGAGGTTGACAGAATTTCCAGAATGTTTCCCGACACAAAAGTAATAATTTCTGCCCCCATTCATTCACACATGTACTATAATTACACTTCTCTCATGTACTAGCGACTTTTGAAATCATGGCTATAGCCCCTCCACTGCTGCACAACAAAAGCATGACTTTATTAATTTATATAAGTGTTAATGTCAGTGTGAAATTGTCACAATATCAAGAACATGCCTGAAACTGAGGTGCTGTCTTTTTACGGGGCGAAAGACTCCCTCAAGCCATTCAATTGACCTTTTTCTTCTTCTCCTATCACACTGTATTGTGATGAAATGATAAACTCATTTAAATTCAATATACTGTTAGTACACTGCACATTGTGGGCTTCAAGTCTAACACCAATAGTGAACTAGACATCGCTTGGCGTAAATATCAGAAACAAATCTTAAAGCCTATGCTTGCGTGGTGCATGTGCTAGAACCGTCTACAGCACGTGAAGGTGCACTGTTACTGCTAATTATTGGTCGTCATACGAGAATTTAACTATTCCTGAAATTCCCTGCAATATCACCAAGATTCCCTTTTTCCTTTTGGCTCAAGATGACAAGTGAAAATTCCCCCAAAAAGGGAAAATTCCCTGCATGGAATATCACTGGTATAGCATGATGATGCATGGCTACATAGAGTCTAGAGGCAAAATTGGGGAGAAAAGATGTCAAATGCAAAGTTGCCACCATATAATATGTACTTGTAAGCGTAGCTAGTGTGAATATTTCCATAGGAGCCAAAACTAGTTTTGTGTAATGCTAGATATACTCCACTTATAACTGAAAATAAAGCATTGGCAGGCAACCATAAGGAAACCAGTATATGTACAGTAGACTCTCCGTATTTGTACAGTAGACTATGATAATTCATACTTTCGGTTTATTCAAACAAAATTCAATTTCTTTATTGGCCCTCTATTCTTTCAATGTATTTAAAAGCCTCTTCATTCAAGCTCCATCATTCGATTAATTCATACTTTTTGCAGTTTCATACCAGAAAATATCTGCTGCTTTCCCACGACTGTTTAAAAGTTTGCTTGCCTATATAATCCTAACAATCTAAAAATAAAAAGTAAGCACCTCAGGCCTTCAAAAAAAGGATTTGCTAGTAAACAAATGTTTGAAACAAAGCACACGCACGGTAAACCGTGATGCATCTCAACTGGTACAAAGAGCTTTGTGTTGGAGGCACGTACCTATAGCAAAGAAGCAGTTGGCAATTCATAATTTTTTTAAAAGGTGTGATAAGCAGTAAATGGCCAATAAACTTGTGGACCTTACATCTATACTTTCTGTTAATTGTGTGCAGTTAGGGTTTAAAAATACTTGAGTGTGCAGTTAGGGTTTAAAAATACTTGCAAAAATTTTAAATGTGATAAAATCAATGCCTAATCATAATGTGCGGTGTTACTTCACCCAGAGTCATCTATATGGGAACTTCTGATAATTCAAACTTCTTGGTAATTCAAACAAAGTTCAGAGGTCCCTTCAAGTTTGAATCATTGAGAGTCGACTGTATATGTAGCTATTCAGACGGGAAAGCGCAGCTGTTGCAAGAAATTTATCAGGTGACTTATATGCTGGAAGACGTAGACTGACTTGCATATGTGTATATGCTGGAAGAGATGAACTGATTTATGTTCACTTTACTATTAGCTTTTAAAAACTCTAGATTTTGCCCATTGAGTAATATTTCTTTACTGCATCCTTTGGTTCTGGCATCAGTATTCTTTGTGCTTATTGAAACTTGTTGTCTGTAGCGCTATAGGTTATCAAAAATTTTGTGCACCTTTTCTTTGGATTAGTTTGAAGGAGATCATTGTCCATCGGTGTACATGCATTTTTATCCTGACACTTTTGATACATTCGCTTAGCTTGTCAAGTGAAGCTCTGCTAACATTTTGGAGATTTTCTACCTCCTTTTATTAATTGTGTGCCTATATTTTGGTGCTACTTTTTTCACTGCCTTGGTAACTTTTTGTTTTTTTCCTAGGTTCACTGTCTGGATGCCTTTGTTCGTAAGCAAACCCGTCTGGTTTTAATTGTGGATGGTCTGGATAGCTGTGAACAGGACAAGGTTTTACGTGTTCTGGATGCTGTTTATATGCTTTTCTCTGACGCTGGACATCCCTTTGTCACAATTTTGGCTTTGGATCCTCATATAATTATTAAGGTGTGTGTTCAGGAATTATGTTTGAATTTCGTCATCATGTAAAAGTGGTGCATCTTCTCGCATTAAGCTAGGTTGTGTGCAGGTTGTGTGCAGTATATTTTCTAGAAAAGTTCCAACCAGCCGCTAGTAACTGTTTTCCCAGGTTATTGTTAGTAGGAGCCTATAGTTACTAAAGGTTACTTCAAACTTTGGCAAGATAATAGTGAATTATTTTCACTTGCCATCTGTATTTCACTTGCATTAAATTTTCCTATATTTTAATGTATTTCTTTAATTATCAAATGATCAACGTCCTACTTTATGGCTTATTTCATAAAATGTGTTATTGTGAGAAAAGCAGACGAATGTGAGCATGTTTTTTTAAACACAAATGTTGGCTTTTGCATCATAATTTTTTTTTGCCATATTGTACTTTTTCTTTATTACTTTTCTTTTTTCTTAAAACACAGGCGATTGAGGCCAATCTACACAGGGCTTTCCAGAACACAACTGTTCGTGGATATGACTACCTACGCAACATTGTGCACCTGCCCTTCTACTTGCAAAATAGTGGACTCCGAAAAGTCAGGGCAGCACAACAGACGGCTGTAGGGCTGAAAAGAAGTGGCAGCCACTGGTGCGAGAAAGAGGAAGTGGAGAAAGCTGCTCAGACCATTGTTAGCACAGGTCCTGACCGAGTAAGGGTTTTCTCTCATATTTCACGGTGTGATGTGTTTCTTCTGCGAGAAGGAATGATTATTGACATTATTTGCACCTTTGCAGCTTCACTCTATTCTCTCACTGTTAGTTCATTAGTAACTTTCATGGCAAATGCATATAAAGACGCTTACGGCAGTGTCAGGTAGCGTTTGATTTTGCAAGTGCTATTCACCCACCTTGTGTAAATTTGTGCAAGATATTCATAGAATGACTTCACTGTCTTAAGATCTTCTTGATTGAGCTGTGAATGGATCTAGCTGTGGGTCACAATTGGTTGTGGAACATTTGAGGAAAGCAGTGTTATGGCTATCAGCCGGCACCATACTACACAAAAACATTTGCAATAGCTCTTTGACTTAGGCGACTATTCAGAACACATTCTGATTTTTCTGAGCTCTGGTCCTGTTATATGATGACATCATTGTGTCTTGCCATATTTAAGTGTCTTTTGCTGGCCTTTGCCTTTTGACAAGGTAGAATGCATAGTTGACTTTTGAGTTTTGTTGATGCAACAAATTTTTTAAGGTTGTTTAGTTCAAAAACCCTTGAATAAGGAAGGCACACACATGAGTGATTCGTCTGTTCATATCCATCTGTAATAAAGTATCTGTGCTCTATAAAAACTGTGTGGAATGCAACTTTGCCCACACAGTCCTGTGGGCAGGCTCACAGCCATAGCATTTATAGGTGTAGGTTTTGAGATTATATGTTGTGAGTAGGCAGTCTGTGTTACCACATTGACAGTCACAGCAGGAGCTTTTGCAAAAATTTCCATGGTTGTCATGACTGAAGTATTTAGAAAACACTTGTATGTGCTTTAATGCGTACACACAGCTCTCATAGTACATTTTATATGTCACAAACATTGTGCATTAGGAATTAAAGAAGAAAACAAACTAAAAATAAACCTGATGTCACACAAAGTTTAGTTATTAGTGTTTACCTGATGCCCAAAGGTGGTTCAGATTTTTTTTCACGTGGTCTTTCAGAAAAATTGATTTTTCACACCTGGTTTTTAAAATTAAAAATTGAATCCCAGGGTTTTATATGTCATAACCATAATCATGACACCTTTGTAGTGAGGGGCCATGGATTCATCTTGATCACTGGGGGTGTTTTGATTTGTGTCTAAATCAAAGCATACAAGCGTGCTTACATTTCATCCCAATCAAAATACATCTTGCTGCAACCGAGATTGGACTTGCCACCTTGAGCTTGAAAGTGTAACGCTGCAGTCACTAGGTTACTGTTGCATGTTTCTGATTTTGTGAATACCTTTCCAATGATTTTACATGATTGCATCTTTGGAAGTTAATGAATGAGATCCAAATAATGTAGAAGCCATATGGTGGTTCTGGGATGTTAACCCCCATACATAAATTGATCAAATAATGTACAGGCAAGGGTCCCAAAGTCAAAGACTGCATGGGACTTCCTAATTGCTTTTTTTACAGCAAAGTTGTTATAAGATCACAACAACGGTCGCGTGTGATGTAGCTGTCTGCCGCCGCCGCCCGCCGGTGTTCGTAACCACTATTGCATGAAATAATAAAAAAACCAAGTAAATAAAAAATACCAAGGACACACTGGGATTCGAACCTGGGTCCCCCGCATGCCAGCCCAGTATTCTACCGCAGAGCCACGCTGGTGCCTTGAAACTCAGTTGCAAACTGTTCTTGGGCAGGCTTATTGTTGTGAAAGCAATTGAGTTAATTTGAGGTATAAAGCGTTTTAGAACAGCAAAGGAGCAACCAGGCATCACACAATTCAAATTGAGTTTCAAGTGGGTCTTTAAATGCTCCAACTCATTTTTTTCTTCGTCGTCCGTCACATCAGAAAAAAATTGCACAAAATTTCTTGCAAGTGTGTAGCGGGTAGCATGCTTCTCCGAATAATGGCAGAGGATGGCATAGTGAATGCCTGCCTATTGCGCAGAAATTATGATGATTTATGATGCAGTGGGTACCCTGCATCTGTGCTTGTAGGAGTTACCCAAAGAGTGTTTAAAAAAAGCTCTGCAAGGCCGCTCTTTCAGCTTTCGCTGTGACCTTGCTGCAATGTTCTGGCCAGGCCTGGTTATTTTTTTTACTCCTCTTTTTGCTGCTTCATCAGCTGCTGACAAGAAATTGTCCTCTGCAGTGATGCTTCTGCTGTTTATGTTACTGTGATTTAGTTGTGATGGTTGTAACTTTTTCGTTTTTTTTTTGCTTGGGCCAGCACTGTCACCGAAGAAAATTTATTCCTTAAGTGCTTCTCGCCATAGCTCTCATATATATTTCAGTAGATTTTCGCTTTTTCACTTCTCTCTAATGGTTAACGTGTCTGTTGTGACTTGTTGGTTTGTGTCTAACCTTAAATTATTTGTCTAATTTTTTGAAACCTCACAGCCAGGGAATCGTCGTGTGTCAAACTCGAGCATGTCAATCCCGGAGTCATTCCGAAAGCCCTCGCAGCAGCGTAAAGGCAATCAGAAACTGAAGGCAAGTGAAAGTGTGGCTTCAAGCATGAGTAACCTTCATCGAGGAGTGACGGGAGCCCAAGATCTGACTAAAGTACTTTTGACCGATGATTACTTTAGCGACATCAATCCACGTTCCATGCGCCGGCTCATGAACATTGTTTACGTAACAGGTACGAATAGTATTTAAAATTTTTGTGTCATTCTTGGTTACCACTGTAAATGGCACCCGTTAATTTGAACGAACTGTTGCATTCTTTCTTATTTCCAGGTCGTTTGTTGAAAGCATTTAACATAGATTTCAACTGGTACCATTTGGCTTCATGGGTGAACATTACAGAACAGTGGCCTTACCACACTTCATGGATCATTTTGTATTATGAATTGCATGAAAATGAAATTGATGATTCCACATCACTGAGGTCAATCTTTGAAAAGTAAGTGCCAATTTTAAGTAAGTCCCATGAGGTATATCCCACGTTTCTGCAAAGCAAATAATTGTATATTTTAAACAAAGAAACTTGTTATCTTTATTTTACTTTTCGATGGCAAAAGAGTCTCAGCAGTTGTGGTAAAAAATAAAAGTGAGTTAACAAGTCTCTCATTTCAGGATCAAAGGAAAGGTGCCCACAGGAAAAGATCTGCAGCCACTTTTTGATGTTGACCATGATGTCAGGAAGTTTGAAATATTTCTAAGCTTCCACTCGGCATCGTTGTTAATTAGTGACCTCAAGATCTTTGTGCCCTTCACTATAAATCTTGACCCATACATACGAAGAGTGATTCAAGGTACGCTACATGATAAAACTTTGGTTTGCATTGACTGACATAATTATTTTTTTTTTGCTATCAGATATAGTAGAGCTATTAGTGTTAAGCTCGCTCATATTGGTGCAAACAGTCCTTAGTAGGTAATTGCAAATAATTGTGTAACTGTCAGAATATCTATGCATGGAGGCATGTTACCACATCTTTTATAAGGATGGGTATGCAAAGTATTGCAACTCACTTCCAGCGCTCTAACAGCCACCACTTGGCCTATATGGCAGTATACTTTTCACTGTGCACAGCTTTAGCCTTCATTCAGTTTGTAATTTTGCCCTGAAAACTTGCTGAACACCGTATGCACACTATGCAGAGCACTACTGTGGTGAACTCCATGTCAGATTACTGCATTGTCAACTGTAAGAAAAGGGCAATCTGAAGGTTTTAGCAAAAGGTCACCAATGTATGCTGCTTCACTAGCAGAAATATGGTGATTTCTTAAGACCTAATCTTAATTTTTTCCTATTTCAGTCCATAATTTAAAGCTCTTAGCGAATCAACCAATGTTGACTGTGTCACATGACTCATTCACATGTGACTTTATCAAGTGTGAATGAACGGAGTTTGTTGGTATGATTTGTCTGCGTTAGTATGGTCACTGACCCGTGGGTGTTGAATAGCTTTAGCTAAATGTGAAGAGCTGAAATTGTAAAGCTACTATGCAATGATTTTTCCAGAGTAATTTTGTTGCTTCTCATTACATCTTCCATCAAGAAAGACATGAAAGAGCCATAATTTTCTGGGGAGATGTCATATCTTAAATGATCAAGTAATCAGTTGGTAGTAGATATAGCGTGGAATGGCTACTTTGATTTCCTTAAATCGTGGAAATAGGTAGGTACTCGTAATGTCCATGGGAAAGCTAGGGAGATGCCAAAACGAGGTGATACGCTAAACCTGTACTATTTGTAAATAATGATGCCCTTGCTGGGCTTCGCAGTGTAAGCCATGCCTAGGTGGTTGGAACATGAAAGATATGATTTAATAAAATGTGATGAGGCATCCCGCATGACTCACAGCTTTGTGGTTGTAGCTGCGAAATAAGATAGACTGGAATCGTACTTTGACAGGTTATGAAACATTTTTTTTCCTTGTGCCTGAACCTTCATTCTCGTACGCCTAAAAAAATTTTCATGAAAGCAGTTGGGGAGAAGCAAGAGAAATGTAAGAAACTTCGAGAATTTCAGCATAGTATTAATCTTTTTTTGCCGTAACAGATGTGGTGGTATAAATTATTGTTGGTTAACTTAAGGGATGAACATGTAAATTGTTTAAAAGGTAAGCAGTAGCTAAGCTTCTAGGCTAACTTTAGTTCTTTGATTGAACAAACATTACTAATCACTTTTTTTAATACAAAGTAAGCAATCAGGCCATAACTGTGCTGTGTGAAGTTACTGCCATGATTTATTTATTGTAGTAGCTATTGATAAATTTTGCACTCCTGCAGCATCGCACATGAAATGTTTTACAGTAAACTTTCACATTACTTTAAACTATCCAAGAAGCTTATGCTTTGAAGTGCTCTTGAATCTGAATATAGCAGCCCATTTATCGGTCTACTTGTGCATGCTGGACACCGTTAAGATATGTTTAATATTTTTTACGAATCTCAGGTCTGGACAGACTTGAGACGTAATCAGCAACACTTCTGCAGTATACCAGCATGAGCTGTCAGAAAATTTGTATATTATTAACACAGTTCTGTCTTTCAGCATGTGCATGTATATTTACTCTATAGGTTGAGAGATTACATGGTGAGATGTGTGAGCATTTTAGCAGCTGCTTGGTTCTATGACAGATTTATACACATCTTAAATACACTACTCAAATTCACACCAAAATATCAAAGTGTTTGACATATTGGAAATACTCTGAGAGAAGAGTATTTTTACGGTAACTAAAATGCATGAATATCGGAGTATGTTGTAGTCAGTATTTCAAATGTTTGAAAGAAAAATCCAATTACTGAAAAAAAAAAAACCCACTTGGCCGCAGAGGCACATTTCATTTGTTCTACATAGGGTGTCTTTAAGGACACACAGGCTTACCTGGGTTTTCATACACGCAACCTAAAGAGGCCTTGCCAAATGATAGACACAGTGGTACAACATTTAAAGCAACTCATGTGCTTGCAAAAAAAAAGACACATGCATTTTAATTTGTTGCAGCAAGGCAACATATATCCTAGCAATATTTTTAGCTTGGCATGTTGGTACGTACTGAGGAGTCGACCAGAGTGCAAAATAAGACACAAACACAGAGAGAGGACGGGCCTTTTGCTGTGTTTCTGTCTGAGTTCGTGATTGTGTTTTCTCCTCACAAAATATATCATCTGATTGTTTTAAGAACACTCTGCTTTTATCCTTTGTAGGGAGCCTATCACTCGTAAGTGCTTCGGTCAGTCATATCTTGCCAGATGAAATTCACTTTATGGGCTCCAGTCAGTGTAAACGACATGGCTTTCTGACAAAGCGCTGAACTGTAAAAGTTCACTGCCCCTCTGAAAATTTCAGACGAAACGTGAGGAAACGGGCCCAGCAGCCTCCCACCCACATTCGTCAACCTCCATCTTTCTCTCATGGCCCTCTACTAAATGCACTTGCCTTTTTTTTTTGTTTCACAAGAAAATTTAATTTAAGAGTACCTACAATGTAACAAAATAGTTTCCCAAAGTCATTTGTTCACTACTCTTATACATATTGTATTCCACTGAAGCACCTATTTCGTGCAGCAATCGTTGACTTACCTTAAAGGGGAAATGAGAGTCTTGAAAAAAGGTTTATTCTATCATAGCGAAAATTGGCAGAATGTAGATTTCAAATCAGCAAGCAAATTTTAAGTAAGTCATTTAGAAAAGAAGTAACGACAAATTTTGACATTGCAATGAGACAGTTTGTTATGGGTTTTGGCAACTGGCAATATCAAATTTAACTTTTCAGAGCTACTTGGTTCTTCTAAAAGGTTCACACAATGGGCCAAAGCAAATTTGATGTCAGAACAGCTGTTTTATTGATAAGAAGTAATTTTTGAACTTGGAAGGCAAAGATTAGCTTCTAGTGATTGGCTGTTACTTATCAAATAACTATAATTGCAATAAGAGTGGGGAAAAAAAGGAACACTTTTGCTTGTATTTCAATTGTTGCTGAAATGAACAATACTTTTTCAAAGTATCTTGTTCAAGTCCGTTATACAGTATGTGAGGCTTAACAGTGTGTACTTATGGCTTTTGTAATTGCCCTTTGTGGGCTAATGTCAGATGCTTAAACTCCAGTAAATTGTCAATTAAACTTTAGAGTGCACTTAAAGCCCCACTCGCAAATCCCCCAGCCTGTGTCAGCATCATTTGCTGGAGAACAGTTTGTTTTTTAGGTACCTTATAAATTCTGATGTGAGACACTTAGTTATCTATTAGAGTACAGCACCATACAATAATTTTCCAACCCTTATCAGCGCCATTTGTTGAAGAACACTTTAATTCGGCATATTAGCTGTGCGTGAAGATATAGTGTCGATCAAGAACACTGCTCCTCTAGAATTTAGTTATGTGTTATGAATCTTATTGTACTGTTTCATGCCTTTGTTTGTTTGTTTTTTATATACATTCGTATCCATACAGAGCGGTATCAGTCCCAGCCTGAAAGTGATCGGCTCATTCAGAAGTGTGGATCTGGGCCATTTGTGCCGCCAGCCCCACCACTGGGTTCAGTAGGCATGATGGGCCCAGCCGGGACACCGTGGACCCCATTGAAGGCTGAGCTGTTGTACCCCCAAGCTCCATCGACACCTGTCATGTCTACAGAACCTTACCAGCAGCAACCATACCACTTATGGTGGTCAGTTGGCTCTCCAGGAACTTCAAGCACAATGCCTGTAGCACCAGTGGCACCTTTAGTCCGTGTTTGGAATGTATGTTGTCTACCCTTACTCTTTCTCCTTTTCCTTGTTCCAAAGCTCGCAGTATATCAGTATTTGGTTGTGAAACTTGGTGGCGAGGTGCAATTGTTTTCCAAAGTGCGGCTTTATCTTCCAGAAATAAAACCATTCTTGACACGCCATGCTGGGCTAGTGGTTGTGGTGCTTAACTGTTGACCCTAATCCCAGCTGCCACAGCCGCATTTTGATGAAGATGTAAATGCTAGGGGCCGTGTGCTTGGATATAGGTGCACATTAAAGAACACCATGTGGCCAAAATTTCTCAATGCCTTCCACTACAGTGACCCTTATAATCAGGTGATGGTTTTGGCACGCAAAGCCCCAACAATTCTTTTACTATTACTAATAAACCATTCTCAACATGCTCATCTTCTCATTCATTAATCAAGCCATTAGGCAGTGTCAAATTGAAGAGCATCATTTTCTTTCAGGAAACATCTGTATAAATAGATGTTTTGATTGTATTAATGAGAACCAACAATCAATGATGCCAAGAAAAGTACAGGGGATGTTATTAGAAGTAACTGTAATGCAAATGCAAAGAAAGAGCAGTGGGTGAAAAGATAACTTGCCACTGGCAGGATACAAACCTGTGACTTTCGAATAACATGTCCAATGCTCAACCACTAAGCTACAGTGGCGGTCGTCCCTCCATCCACTTTATGTGCATTATATATGTGCATTTAAACGTGGGAGCGTCAGTCATTACCACCTGTTGCCATTGTGGTGAGTGTCATTCGCCATAGTGCAACAGTGTCAACACATGAGCACTGACGTTTTTTGTATGCATTACAGTAAAACCTTATTAATTCGAACTTGGTTATTTCGAAACCCTGCTTAATTTGTAGCATTTCCGCAGTCCCGTATTGTGCAATGCAAGTTTGATTGGATAATTTCAAGCGGCAGTCAGCACCAGTCCACTTTGGGTGCAGTGTGCCAATTCCGGATCCCAATTTCGCTGAAAAACCGCGAGAACAACAGCCCTTAAGAGCCGCTAGGCAATGTACTGCAGTGATAATAATGAGTAGCACTTGAACTAGGCCAACCTTGATACTTCCAGCTCGAAAAATAAAGTTATAAAAAAAAACAGGAGCATCATCAACTGAAATATGCACCTGCGAAAAACAAGACGTGCTTCATTGTGTCACAGCGGGGACGTGCGGGCAACATGTCGCATGCTTCTCGCAGCGTCAGCGCGTCATGATTCACCCAGTCTTTCTGGGAATATAAAAAATAATAATAAAGCAAAGTCTGGTGTAATTCGCGATGTATGCAAATCTCCCAATGCCGGTTGCTCCATCAATTTTCGCACCTGCACTGCTGGTGGAGTTCTTGCCTGCAACGCCTACTTCGAAAACTCGGTTGGAAAGTTTCAATGATCATGTTTTCCAGCCAAAACACATCGCGAATTTTTTCACACTGTCGATTATTAAATTCTTTATTTTAATAGAAAGAATGGGGGATTAGTCGCATCATGACGTGCTGACGCAGCGAGGGGCAGGCAGCCTGCTGCCAACATGTCACTATTGTGTTGCAGAGAATATGTGTTGTTTTTCGCAGGCGCGAATTTCAATTGATCAGGATGACGTTATTTTTTTTTTTTCAGTGGCAGCAGCGAGGTTCAGCATTCCCCCTTTTTTTGTGGGGAAATCGTGACCTGGTATTTCTAGAAAACATAACCCTTGGAGCCGCAAAGTAGCCGGCACAGCAAATGACCAGCCCTGGTTACTTTGAACAATTTCATTCCTTGCATCCCACTTTTTGTATTTTCCTATAATTCAAAAATCCACTTAATTTGAAGATTTCTCATGGTTCTGGTGACTTTGAATTAACGAGGCTTTACTGTAATTTTAATGTGCAGCAGGTAACCTACTTTAATCATTTTTGTACTTAATAATACAAGTAATCTCTTAATACACAGTGTATCATATATAACCATGTAAAATTTGATAAAGGTTGGTGTAAAAGTTTATGGAAGTTGATCTCTCACTATTGCATTGTGAGGATAAGCGTTCTCTTTCGTTTTCCTTCTAGGAACCTTTTACGAGCAAGCTAAGCTCTCTTACTGTAGAGGGCGTGTCAAACTTTCTTGAGGGCCTTGAAGGTATTGACAAGTCACGAGTACCAGACTATCAAAGCACACTGACGCGGCACAACATTCACGGCCAAGTTCTGTTGACATGCAATATACCTGAACTGCGAGATGTGCTCAGTATGACTTTTGGTGACTGGGAAATCTTCAAGATGGCTATCTTGTCGTTACGTGAGCAAGAGTTTCAACGTGCACAGCCTAGTGCTTCAGCTGAAGACTTGCCTCCTATACCGTTTACACGAGACCGTACACACTCAGTATCTTCAGCAGCTCCAGGTGAGCCTCCCTGCTATGAGTAATGTGTTATGACTAGTACTGCGTCACATTTTTATTTCATTTGTGTAATGAAATATGCCACTCATTGATCTAAGTGTTTTTAGTCACTGTTTGTGTGTGAGGGGGGGGGGGGGGGGGGTCTGACTTTTAACTCTTTCGTTACCATGTCTATCCAAATCGATCACCAGTGATCGACGCTTTTGGATCATCGATTTTGGCATGCTAAATTAGTTTCTCGTGCACCCAGCACTTTCTAGTAGTTAGCCCAGGCGCTGAACTTTCAGAATCAATTTGAATTTGCCCGTTTCGGCAGCATAGTGTTTTTTGACAGACATTTGCGCGAACCAATGTGTGTGTATTGTTGGAAAAGTGCATTAGGCTGGCAAGCTTGACAAAAGTGTGTGCACCTCGTGATTATGGTACAGTAACGTCGAAGTCCTGTAATGAAAAGAACTTTTGTAAGCCAAATATCGAATTAAAGTGTCAGCTTCGCAATTCGACTATGTTGAGTAGTAGTGATAGCCAGAAATTTATGCCATATATTCAATAGAAAGCTGTTCCTAGGAGTAAAGAAAAATTTGTTCTGCAAAAAATATTTGCAAAGGTCCGCCACGTGTTTAAAGTGTTGAGATGGCCTTCTTTGACAGTTTCCAGCAGCTTCGGTTTTACTTGTATCGTTATACAATCGAATCTCGATAATTCGAACTCGATGGGGCCCAAAAATTTGTTCAAATTAAAAGAAGTTCGAATTAATGAACGCTAAATAAACGGAGGGCTCTCCATGCGGTGGCGCATGTGCATTGAGCTAACACACAAGGGAGAAGTTTCAGAACACTTACATTTGCTCACAAATCCCAGGGCATCCTTTATTAATTGAAGTAATCGGTGATGTGCGTCTGCACACGCTTGCCTTGCAGCGATTTAATCAATTTTGTATGCAGCCAGGAAAATGCTGAAGCGGAAGTAGAAATGCTTCCGCTTCAGCATTCTCCTGGCAAGAGAAGTTGCGCGCGGAAATGTCCAGTGCCGACACTTTCTAAAGACAATGACAACAACGACTGCGTAGCGGAGCCTCCCGCTCTCCGCTACGCAGCCTCAGCATGGCCAGCATGTGACGAGAAAAGAGGAGCATCTCCACGCGCAGAGAAGCAGATCGGCATTTGAGAGAAAACCAACACTCCACGACAGCTTTTTTTTTTTCTCTCTCTCTCTTCGCACGCATCGTTGAAAGGAAAAGGGTTACGTGGCAGGGACGGGAAAGAGAGAAGTGTGACACGGGCGAGTGAGAGACTCCACCCTCAAGGCGCAGAGCCGTGCTCCCACAAGGGGCAAGGGCTGCAGAAGATAGTGCCTTTTTCCTTTCCTTCAACCACACATTTATTTAACCTAGCGACAACTTTTTTTTTTTTCCTCTCTCTGTTCGCACGCGGCTTTGAAAGGAAAAGGGTCTTTACGTGGCAGGGATGCAAAAGGGAAAAGTGTGACATGGGTGCGTCGCAGATCGCCATTTGAGAGAGAGCAAACATTCCACCGCAGCCTTTTCTTTCCTTCGTGGGCAGCGTTAAGGTGTCGCAGGTGCCGCCGCGGGATTTGGCGGGGTGCTGAGAGCATTTTCGGAGTGCGGTATTTTCGAATTAACTGTCGGAAGTGCTTGGGCGTTCGAATTACCGGGCGTTTTCGCTTATTGGAATACACATAGCTTTGACGGAACCTCATTGCGAGTTTGAATGAACCGGAAGTTCGAATTAAGCGTGTTCGAATAAATGAGATTCGACTGTATCAGACACAGATTCGCATCTAGTGTCACTAGTCACTCCTATGATGTCGTCGTCACACACGCATGGTTGCGTATCAGCGCTGAAAAACACATGCGCTACTCGATACTGTCTTGCAACCTCACCTGAATTGAGTGACGACGAGCTTAGCATTCGAGGATGACAACACCTCAGCTTCAAGTTTTATGACGACGATGTTTTGCATCTACATCCTGATACATCCACAACCGTTCATGGGTTTATTTTGTTTACATCCTTAAGTAGTTTCCTCTGTAGCAAGTGCGTATAGTTTCTGACCTTTGTGCACAATCTTATAGCTATTCTGGTTATGTGCGTGTTCTACACTTTGCTGGGGCGCAGTGTGCTGGCGCTGGCTGCAAAGCTTCTCCCAACCACTAGAAAGCCCCCAGAACACATCTTGGCCTTGACTGCGAAGCAGTGCAAAACGTTTTACAACTGCGGCAATATTGTCCTTCTTTTAATACGATATGCGCGAAAATCCAAAAAAGTATGCTTGGATGCATAGATTGGAATGCCAACCTATGCGTTGTAAGGTGGCTCATGGAAAGAGATGAGGCTAGATGAAATAGCGAAGTTCATTTGGCATCTCATTTATAGAGGGATTATTCACATCACGGGCATCTATGTACCTCAATTGGAACACCAGGAGGCTCTTATCGCAACACAACAAAAATTTACTCAGAAAAAGTGTACAAGTACACTTGTGTCTCCCACACACACACACACACACACACACACACACACATACATACATACAAAAAAAAAAACATGCAATGCTTCATCGCAAAGCACGAGCAACGAAGCAGCACCTCGGTTCGGATTTTCTTTGTCTATGTGAACAGAAACATTTTTGTACAACATTCATTATTTTTTATACTGTTCCTTTGACATTTATCTTCAAAATTTATATACAGAATTTTTTTTTTGTTCTGAATATTTTTGCCTATATAGTGTTTTTTATTGCACTGTTTACCAGCTTGTGACCGAAAATTTTACACTTTTCACTTTTTTATTCATTCTAAAATATTTTTGTTGCTCTACAACATACATTTTTTTGGAAAGAGTATTTCTTTGTGCAAACTTTGGAATGCTGCAATGCGTGCTGGATGGAGTACTTTTCCAACTGGCAAAAACCATCTTCCCGAGACTTATAAAAAAAGAACCATTTTCACATGGTAACGAAAGAGTTAAGATGGTGATTGAGCATGATGATAATTGCAAGGTGGCTTTCAATCAACAACAGTAATAATAATAAATTTACTTCCATCTAATATGAAAAAAAAAAAAGACTTCATGAGTCTGTCACGTCCCATATGCTGTATGGCACTCCATACTCAAACTTACAGATGGGGATCAAAACATCTGTAAATTCCTTTTAATTTGTACATGGCCTCTACATTAACTATGTTTAAGTTATGTTTGGTATGTTAATACATGAAAGCAGGGAGTGATTTCAAAGTACTCTGGGTGGCACTCAAAATTAACTTCATGGCCTTCACAGTTTTGTCCCACAGCAATAATCTTAGCCAAGTGTACATTCCTCTTATTTAAAACACTGCGCTTGCTAGTACTTTCATCCTAAGAACATTACAGCATATTAACACATGCATACTGTCATACTGCTCTTGACAGGAAAGTACTGGGCATCCATTGTCTGGAACCTTTCTTACAAAGAAAAGCAAATAATTTGCTTAAAGCTCTTTATTTTCTAATGATGAATAAAATCTTGCTCTCTCTTCAAGGGGGTATGGTGGGGTAAATCGAGCAAAAGCTCAATTTTACTTATCTTGTTACTAAAAAATAATAAACCTTGTGAGGAGTACAACCATGCAATGACTAGCGCATAGAAGCTATCAATGTCATTCTGAAATGGCACTGAAAACTGAATTTTCTGATAATAAAAAGGGGTTATTGTCATGTAGTTTTTCATCATAATTTCATTACGTGTGTTTTCTTCATAATAAGTATGGTGAGATATTCATACTTTGTCTTTTTCTCAGAACTGTGATTGCAGAGTCGTGATTGCAAATTCTCCCACCAAGGGTGCTTTGGTAGTGTAGTCTATGGCTTTTGTTGTGAGCACTTTTTTAATCTTTCAAACGCAAAATGATCTCTTTCTCAGCGTCACTATTTTTATTTAATGTTGAAACTATACACACTTTTTTCAAAGACTATTCAACCACTTAGGCTGAAGCTTTCTGAGATTATACCGAAATCCCTTCCAAATAGCCTGAATCGAACGTTTTGAAAAAATATGTTTCAGCTGTAATTCATAAAAACAGAAAGATTAATAGGAAAGTCACTCATATGGTACGTGATAAGTAAGGGCAATATTTTTTTCTCATAAGATAAATATATAAACCCATTCTTTTTGTTAGGGATTGAAATGACTATCATGGAGCACTAGTGCACAAGTTTTCATGGTCATGCTGTTATTTGTTTACGAGATAAGATACATTAAATTTTACACAAGTCCTTCTAAAAAATAAATAAAAAGGACTGCAGGAAAGGTGGTACGATATAGAGGCAAAAAGCGTTCTTGATCAGAACACAAAATTGTACAACAAAAAATGAAGCAATTTTAAAGATATTAAGCCTAAACAAAGATGACTCATTTATGTTACCATGCCTACTTTAAGTATTCAAAATGCTTGTGATTCCTTTTACGCAGTTACGGATGTAACAATATTATTCAATAGCTGTCTCAAGCAATTGTGTGAAGAGCTCCATTTAAATTATTGAATCCTAAACCATCTTAAATGTTGTGTGTCTGCTGATACTTCAGTACCATGCCCATTGTGCTAAATGCTCATTCCTTTCATGCTTGAAAACTAAGTCCACAGAAATATTGATGTTCTTCTTGGTATGCTGCAATAGCGTTGCTTGCATTGAAGAGAAGAAAAAATAGCGTTGCAATTTTGTTGTAATATTTATAGAATAATAATGAAGGAAATTCATGAATAATTATTATATACTCTGCGAGCAGATAGTACAGAAGGCAAGCTATTGTTTTAGCTGCTCACAGAAAAGTTTTCTCGTAGGTGACCATGCTGATTCCAAAACAAAAGATAAAACAAGTGAATGTTCAGATAAGTCGGAAAAGATGTCCTCTTCACACTCTCAGTCAACTTCAAGACGACCGAACTCATCACTCGAAAAACAGGCAAGTCTTTGTTGCTTTAAATTTTTGTTAACTTCCTGTCCTTGTTTATGCGTGTTTTTTTTCTGTGAACAGACGGCTCTATATCAGATTTTTCAGCTATGCTTTACTTGTCAGATATAAAACAGCAGCCAAGTTTTCATGAGTACTATAACATGAGGTGTACGTGTTCATGTGTGTGCATATGTGCAAGTTGTGCAAGAATACCAGTCTGACAGCCTTTCATAAAACTTATCTTGAATTGTCTTGTCAATGCAGTAAAAGATTTCTCTCTCTTTTATTTTCTTCAACATGTTGCTTTAAAGTTTTACAAGGCCAACAACAATGGTGCAGTCCGTAATTGTGATCGCACTCACAAATGGTAGCCCTAGTGCAGACTGTCATGATTTAGGTGGTTCATTTTTATGTTCACTTGTAGGGACCCAAGCATAAGTACAGCTTGTGCACAACAGTAGTTTTATTTTGAGACCTTGTACTGTCAATGTTTTTGTACACTGTTAGTCCCATCGTATCTGTGCAGGTCACCTGCTATTGCGAGCACATTTCACAATTTGGTGGCCTTTCATATCTGCGATGCAGAGTGTAAAAATGTGAAAGTTCTATTTCATGCTTTATATTGGTGTAAAGCTTTTGTATTGGTAAGAAGTACTTACTCTTCTTTTTATCTGCAATCATACTGACACACAATAGAATAATCATAGCACAGATTATTGCAAATGATGTGGTCAGATGCCTTCACAGTTGTGTGTGTTGCTGTGACTTGCACACCTGTAGGTGACAATGGAGGAGAGCTTGATTGTTGGTGCCTTGGAGACCCTTAGTGAAGAAGCCATGGAGGATACGCTTGATGAAAGTGTAGCCCCACATGCTGGATTTCATCATTCGCAGGTATTCCTTGCATTGATATCTATGCGTTTTTTCGTGAATGATGGTCTTTCTTTAAGATAACTCTATCATTAAAACAAGAACTTTATCAGCAGTCTGGTCTTTTGTCAGTGAATTGTAGCTTCTGTTTATTTATGTAATCAAAATGAATATCTTAACAGATAGTACTGAATGGTTTAGCTGCATGGAACTGTATTTAATGACCAGGTGGGCTTCTGTTTTAGGTTACCCGTTCCAATTCTAATGTTGTTTGAATGCTTTAAAAAGAACAAAATTTGAGTGGTTGCAGAAAAACATACTGTAATGTAGAACCTTTATTATCAAAAAAGGGAAAATAATACTAGCTTTTTGGTTTTGACAGGTGTTGAGCCCAATCTTGTCTGATCCCGGCGAGGGAGAGGAAACAAGTGGGACAACAGTGCGTACAACGGGGGATAATGAGATTGATGTTGTTTACCTCAAAATGCCTCATGGGTCCCCAAAGTACAAGTGAGTATGGTTGTTTTCTACAATGTATTTGCAAATAATGTATAGGTAAACCTGGATATAACGAAATTGAGAAATTCTTGGAAAAATTGGTTATAAAGAGCATTTTGTTATATGCAGGTTGGGTACAAGAACTGAAAAAATAAGTGCACAAATTAAGCAAAATGGGAACTGAAGGCAAAGGTCACCCAGAACACTTATCTAGCGGTAAAAAAAACGTGTTATTATTGTCACAGCAATTATATGGACACTCTTGGCGGGTTTTTGCTTTCAACACCATGTTCTGTAATAAGTCTAAATTGATAACATGCCCCCGCAAACCGTACCTTTCACGAGCGGCTAAAAGCGCGCGATCACTGCTGAAGCAAAGATCAAATGAATCGGCCTATCTCTTTCGCCTGGAAGGCGCATAAGATAAAGTCCCCGCATGTTAAAACTGCCGCCGAAAGCTCAAACAGAACGAAAATCGCCCTTGAACAGGCATGAAAAAACACGGATAGGGGGGGGGGGGGGGAATTGCTTGAGTATCAGCAATGAATTTCGATTATGAGGGCGGTTGCAATCGCTGGTGCGCTTGCTATCTCAGCAAGTATTAGTGTGCTTTCAACGTGAAGAGACTGTGTGAATAGAGCACTTCCCACTGGAGCGACCATATCACCAGTGTCTAGTAGGAGCTTTGCGATATCAGATCAAAAAGAGTTGGCTGCCTGCCTTACTTCGTATAATATTACAATTTGTTGCTATCACGTTCACTGCATTGAATTCAATGCGTTGTCGTGTTGTTGCCAGAACCAATTGGCTAATTGCGAAAGCTACGTACGAGCCTGCGAATTCATGGCGCTTCACAAAACGGATGCGCGGGATGAGTCGACCTCCGAAGATCCGTCGTCACCGTGGTCTCAGAGAGTGTCTATCAGCGCCTAATCTGGCATCCCCTCGGTGGTGACGGTATGGATTGTGCGCATTAAAAAAAAAGCAAACGAATATACCCTCATCTGCCCGAAAGGAATTATGAGGAAATGCGAATGCATTGGGTGGCATTCATAACGGCTATTTGCACGTGAGAACCTAGTGTTTGAAGAATAATGTTTTTTTTTCTTACACCGTGCAGCCAATAGTGCCCTTCGCCGCACATGGAATTTTTCTGTCGCAAAAAACTCGGTATGTGTTTCCAGCTCCATTAGCTAGCGCGCACGCTTAAGAAATACTATGAAGTGAACGAAGCAAACAGCGTTCTCGGCTCAGCGTTGGCGTTCCACAGAGGCATCTCGAGCACACATTTGCAGATGCTCTTGAGAGGCACCCAGCCAGCGAACATTCGAGAGTGAGGCAAAAGTGGACGGGAAAGTGGGGCATGGTGAAGAAAGAGAGTGAACTTTGAGAGAAGGAGTGGTGAAGCACTGCAACTACTCTCTCCTACACTCTCGCACCACATTCTCCGGTTGCTAGGGACGAGGATAAGCGCCCGCACCCGCAGCAGTTGCTATGGCAGAGGTAGTCAGAGCGGCGTCGTGGCCGTCACAGACAACGCCGGATGCCTGACATAGCCTGACTAAGAAATGCATTCGCACTTAAAAGCAAAGCTGAACGTTGTTGGGGGCCACACTATGCCCGCGCAGTGAAACCATGCCCGTACAGTGAAACTATGCATGCACGCACGGCATCGAAAACGAAGAGCGAATGACACAGACATGGATACCGCGGAAAACTATTCATTAAAGCGCCCTCCATGTGCAGCCCTCCATTTGCAGCCCTCCATATGTGACGCTATAGCTAAAAGCGTGGCACTGCCAATGCAAAAGCAGTTTTTCTTTTTTTTTTGTTTTTGGTTTGGAGGGAGAAAGTGCACATCCACACATGCGCACACGGCGGCAAAACGGCAGCAACGCTGGCTCATAGAACACAGGCCCGCCTGCCCGCCTGGCGCTCACACTTGCGCGATCACGAGCGCTCGCTCTCCCCTGCTGCCCCGTGCGCGCCGTCGCCGCTTCCCGCTTGGTCAGCGGCGGGGCATCCACAGAAGATGCATGCTCGTACCAAAATCCGGGGTGAAATTCCTACATTGTCCGTTGGAAAAATTCGTTATATCAAGGTTGTCTTCTTCTGCTACTTTGTTACATAGAGGTTACAAATATATGTGCTTCTCTGGAGCAACGGCGGGGAATACAAAAACTTCGGCGGGAATAGAAAAACTTTGTTACATCGAGAAATTTGTTATATGGAGGTTTGTTATAAGCAGGTTTAACTTTATGTGCAAGTACATATAAACATATGTGCTTCTTATGTGGCATGCTATATAAAAAAACAAAACAAAGCAGTATTGGTGTTCTTTCTTCAAGCTTATCTCTAATCACTTAGATTCATTAGGCCTTTTATTTTTATAGCAAATATTACTTTTCTTATTGAAGATAAGTTGGCAAACTAAATTATGTCTGCATACTTGTAGTGTACGCGTATCCCACAGGAGTAGGTTCGGTCAAAACGAGCAACAGGGCCGCGTTTACCATTGCCTCCCATGACTAAGGTCGCTGCACACGCGCGTTTGGAGAGCCAAGGCGCCAAGCGCAGTGTGGCAAGTAAACAGTACTGCTCTCAAACAAGTCACAACACTTTATTGTCTGCGGCAACACAAAAACGCAGTTCAGCGCCCGTTGCAAAAGGCGGCGGGAAAGCAAAAGAGGCTTATTCATGCCATGGGCGAAAGTGCAACACAAAGGGTGCCGTGAGCACGTCTCTGTGGGCAAAAGGGTTCACGGTGACACGCCGCTGAGGCAAATGGGCCCTCGCGACTATGCGCGGTCTCAACGTGAGTGACAACAGGGCCCGATTGCTCGAGCGAAGGCAAACTTGCTCTGCTCGCGTTGACTTTGAGAGGTACAGGTGGAGTAGTACGACCACGTGTGAACACGTTGCACTGCTCTTCGGCCTAGCGTTCGGAAGGGGCAATGAAAGGTAAGCGTTCGCCGCGGGCGCAAGGCACCATTGGCAAGTCCGAGCGAGCTCCAAGAACAAAGGGAGCCGACGGATGGAAAGAGAAGGCGTGCTCATTTTTCGATGTCCAGAGAGGATCTACCACTCCTACCTGGCGCGCATGGGAAATGTCTTGGGAGACTCAAGTGCAGCGCTACCTTCGACATCTGCTACCGGGTGAGAAGAATTAACGTAAAAGCCCCTCAAACTTCACAATATAGCGACACCTCCGATCGTGTTTATCTTCAATCTCCTCGCCTTTGCACTCACCTTTCGAACGTGGTGCCTCCTGCCTTGCTCTTGTGTAGCAGACGCCCTGTCGCAAAAAGAGCGCTTGTTTGGCAGGCAGCACGCTGAGAGTATTCGCACTAGCCGTCTAACTCATCCTAAAATTATCGTAATGTTGGCCCATGAAATCAATGTTTAGTGCCACGTGCAACACATGTCTGACCTGGCCTTGATGGAGTCACTCGGTGTCGCATTGACTGGATGTTAACTTTGTGCACGCTACTCCTTTAGTATGGATGTTATCATTTGTAAAAATGTGATTGCTAGCGAAACGCCGTCTTTTCTAGGCCCATTCTTTAGTGCATCTCCGAATAAGTTTTATACTGTAAATAACTTTGCTCAAACATTCAAGTGCGGCTGCTACAACTTACCTTTCGATTGGCTGGCGCAATAGCGCCCGAAAGGACATTGCGACTGTCTTTCCTTACTCAGCGCACAGGTAGTGCAAGCTTCGCTTTGTATACATCTTTTCACAGAAATGAAAAAAACACCGCCATGATGGGCTGTGTGCGGGAGTACAAAGGCTAAGGGCGCAGCGTTGCCAGTGCATATTCGAGGGGACGCGCCAATTTTCACAGCCCAAGGAGGGCTATGGCGGCGCCCAGGGAGGCGTTTTTGAAAAGGTGAATAGGGTGTACGATATGTGCAGAGGGAATTCATAGTGACCGTCATGTAGTGGAAGCAACAGCTCACATTGAGGCTGTCGACGTAGGACGGTGATGTCGCCGATGGCCAATTTTAGCTTTTGGTGAGCCATCTAAGGCTTTCACCTTAATAATGTGTCAGAAGGCATACATCATTTATAGTGGGGACATTCGGACAGCTGTGGTTGTTTCGTGAAATGGTTAGACACACTAAACATATTTCATAAGCGTGTCTTGTGGACGTATCTCACATACGAACTATATCGCTGAAAGAACAAGCTAACGTATGAATGAACTAGCATGCCACCATACGCGATTACTTCGCAAGAGCTCCAGTCGCGGATATAAACCTTCACATAAAATACCAAATGAAGTATCACGCAAAATGGCACGTATGTGTGAGGTTCCTGAAGGATGCACGCACCCAATGACTCGAAAGCATGCACGCTTTGCATAGCTGCCCTCTCATCGTGATTGCCCCGGCTGATCAATCAATGTGAAGGAGCCACAGAAAGCAGTTTGCTTTGAAATACACGAGCACGCAACAAATACCAACAGAGAGTACCAATATTAATGTGAGTTGCTGCACTCCAGTTTCGTTTATTGAAAACAATAGTGTGGAATTTTTAAAGTTTCACAATCACAATTTTGAGCGCCTTTCTGCGTGCATGCTAAGCGCACAAACCAATACCATGAGCTCAAACCAGTCTGCACAAAGCGACAAGCAGAACACGTAAGCATGTAATGTTGACAAAAAAAGTCACAGCTTTGCCAAAAAGGCAAAGCAATGAATGCGATAGCAATAAATTAGAAGCTCACACGCAGAATGGCAAGCAGATCAAAACATGCCGCGGGTTTCTCATGTGCAAATGATGCACGAAACATACTCACATGTATAGATGAACGCGAATAAGCTTCTCAGTTGTTACTTCGCTGTGTCTGAAAAGCGCGCCCTTTTCACAAACGGAGACTGCTTCAAGTGCAGTGACCATTGTGCACCCGGTAACTACAACAAAATCGGTCCAGTGATAGCTCTAAGCGTACGATTGTCCCCATCGCGAGATAAATGAGCGCTCGCGAGAGCGTCCCCTCTTAGCGGAG